TTGTTTTTAAAAAGATTTTCATTTGAAAGGCAGATTTTACAAAGAGATCTTCCGATCTGCTGATTCACTTCCCAAATGGCTGTAATGGCCAGAGCTGAGCTGATCTAAAGCTGGGAGCCATGAGCTGGTGGGTACAGGTGTCCCACGGACCTGGGCCACCCTCCATTGCTTCCCCAGGCCGTAAGTGGGGAGCTGCATCAGAAGTGGAGTAGTGGGGACATGAACTGGAGCCACAGGGTGGAATATGCCTGCTATGTCACACACTGGCTCCTGGGCTGCTTTTCCAGGCCATTAGAGAGCTGGGCTGGACGGGCGGCGGCCAGGACACAGACAGGCCCCCAGCGGGGAATGCGGTAGTGCCGGTAGTGGCTTTACTGCTGCTCCCCTTAAGACCATATATATCACAAGTCTGCGGAACTTCATACAAGTTTTCGGGAGGGGAGTCCCTGAGCCTGTGTAAATGTATCAAAGAAGATACAGGTTCTAATTTTTTTTGTATAAAACCATCTTTTAGCTCAATATCTTTGCACAACTTTTGAATTACCCTCATTCTTAAAAATAATCAAGGAAGTCAAAGACTTCTACTAACATACTAAGAGCATAAAAATGGTGAGATCCCCTGTTCACTGATTGGAAAAAGTTTAAATGCCCGTACTACCTAAAGCATTCCACAGAATCCAGCGACAATCTCCCATAGAGGAAATAATCCTAAAGTTCATATGGAGCCACTGTTCCAGTGTTTACTATATGGTTAATATATGGTTCACGTGGACCCATAAAGGACCCTAGCAGCCAAAACAACCTTGAACAGACTTAGGGCTACAGCAGCACGGCGCTGGTATGAGGACCTGCCGACTGATAAACTGGAGTGCAGATAAACCCAATCGTGTTGTAAATCAATTTTCAACAAGGTGCCAACATGGCATCATGGGGAAAGATACTCTTCTCGGGCCCGGCGCCATGGCCTAGCGGCTAAAGTCCTTGGCTTCCATGTGCCGGGATCCCATATGGGTGCCAGTTCTAATCCCGGCAGCTCCACTTCCCGTCCAGCTCCCTGCTTGAGGCCTGGGAAAGCAGTCGAGGATGGTCCAGTGCCTTGGGACCCTGCACCTGCGTGGGAGACCCGGAAGAGGTTCCCGGCTTCGGATCAGCGCAGTACTGGCCATTTCGCTCACTTGGGGAGTGAATCATCGGACGGAAGATCTTCCTCTCTGTCTCTTCTCCTCTCTGTATATTTGCTTTTTTAGTAAAAATAAATAAATTTAAAAAAAACACACACACTCTTCTTAAGTATGCAAGGGAATAAATAACTCGAAATGGATAAAAGAGCTGCAGGAAGGACCTGAAACCGTCAAGCCGTGTGGGGAGACAAGGGGAGCTCTGACCTTGGTTCTAGCAGTGACTGTGTGAGATGAAATACAGGCGACAAAAGCAAAAAGTAAACGAGTGAAATTACGTCAGCGAAGTGGCCTCACAGCGAAGGAAATGAGAAAGCAGCCCAGGCGTTGGGAAAAGCGCCTGTGAGGCCTCCACGGCGTGAAGGGTCAGGGTCCAAAACACAAGAGCGACTCAGTAACATGGCAGTCATCTAAGACCGGTCAGACACCCAAGAGGTTTCCAAGGATGTAATTAAAAGTGTCAGACGATGTATGCGTGCCTGACATGTACGTGCACAAGAGCTCAACATCGCCAATAACCAGGGAACTGGAGATCCGACCACCACGAGCCCTCTCACCTGCAGGAGCGGCTCTCGCTGCAGCCCACGCGTGCCAAGTGTGGGGAGGATGCAGAGACCCTGGCGCGCTGCTGCGAAGGCTGAAGGCTGGGGCTGCCGCTGTCCAACCGGGATCACGGCCTGAAACGCTAAAGACAGAAGTCCCGTGTAATTTAGCAATTCCTCTTCTAGGCATCGACCCAGAGGGACCCGCCACCACCCTGGGAACAAACGTGCATCCTGTGTTCCCTGCGGGACGATTCCCACCCGGGCGGCCCGGGAGGCAGTGGGTGACGCTCAAGTAGATGCGTCTCCTGCACGGGCTACCAGGACCGAGTTCCGGGCTGTCGGGTGTCTGGGGTGTGAACCAGCAGACAGCAGGTATGGCTCTCTGCCTCTCAAGTAAAAAGCCCAGCCATTTGTGACAAAACAAGACCTGGGCGGACATCGTGCTAAGTCTAGTAATAATCATGGGAAGAAAAACACTGGAAGATACTTTCATGAGAAATTTTTAAATTTATTTATTTGTAAGGCAGACAGACGGCGAGGGAAGAGACCATGCTTCTACCTGCTTGTTCACTCCCCAGTGGCTGCAGCGGCCAGGGCTGGACCAGCTTGGCCAAGCGGAAGCCAGGAGCCTTGAACTCCATCAAGCCATGGGAGTAGAGAAGTTAAACTTACCTTTGTAGTTTGTCAGTATCCAGCTCGAGTAATTGAAAAAACCAGGCACATGAAAATCAAATGCTAGAGTAGAAAAAGGCACAAATCCATAGATTTAATACTGACATGAATGAGATTTGAAATGATGGGGAACAAATCAAACCGACGGTTCTTAGATTAACATAATTACAAAATTATGCTTAGCAAAAACGCTATTAAAGAAAATATTTAGAATTTGTTTTAACTGGAAAGGCAGAATTAGAGCCAGAGAAGACAGAGATCTTCCCAAACGGCTTCAACGAGAGCAGCGGGCCGGTCCTCAGCCTGGACACTTCCTGGTCCCCCGTACGGTGGCAGGGGCCCAGGGGCTCGAACCAGCCTCTGCTGCTTTCCCAGGTTATAAGCAGCCGGGCCTCAAACTGGCACTGTGGGCAGACACTGGGCATGCGACACCGCCATCCCAGTCCTAACACATGCAACTTCTGCTTGTGTGAGCGAACCTCCGGAGTGCTAGCGCATATTTAATAGAACAAACACAGGTGCGCTTTGCAACAAGCACTTAAGCTGTATCGTGGGACGGCCACATCCCGTATGCAAAGTACCTGTGTTGGAATTCAGGATCTACTTACCAGCTTCCTGCGAATGCGCAGCTGGGAGGCAGGTGATGCTGCAAACACCGGCCACCCAAGTGCAGGACCCAAACTAGTGTCCCGTCCTTCAGCTGGCCCGGCCCCAGCTGCCACAGGCCGGGAGCAGAGAGGTGCACGCTTCCTGCCTCTCCAACACGTAAACATAAAAGAAAAGCAGGCAAAGAACACAAATGGCTAATGTTAAAACATCCTTAAAAGTAACATCAACAGCAAGATGCTAATTTTAAATTTACTGTGTTCTAACAACTCATCTGAAAGCTCATCATTTCGATCAGGCAGTCTAACTGGCACCTTCATGGACACTCGGAGCTCTGCCGACTGGAATACTATACAGGTGTGAAGAACACAGCCAGTGTGATGCACGAGTATTTACAGTGACTTTACAGGTGTGGGGCTGTGAACGTGCCCGGGCGCGTGTGGGGCACCGACAGGGACAGGAGTGGCAGCAGCCGACTCTGGGGAGAAAGGGCCTAGACACTGGAAAGATGTCTAAGATGCCATTTTTTAAAATAAGGAAACATTTCTTAATGTTTCCATGTTTTTCAAAAAGTAAAATGAACCCAAAAGCGAAGTTAGTTGTTTTTTTACAAAACATTTATTTTATGCTTTTATTGGAAAGTCAGATATACAGAGAGACAGGAAGACCTTCTGTCTACCGATTCACTTCCCAAGTGGCTGCAGCGGCCAGTGCTGTGCTGATCTGAAGCCAAGAGCCAGGAGCTTCTTCTGGTTCTCCCTCATGGGTGCAGGGTCCCAAGGCTTCGGGCCATCCTCGACACTTTCCCAGGCCACAAGCAGGGAGCTGGATGGGAAGTGGGGCAGCTGGGATTAGAACTGGTGCCCATACGGGATCCCAACACAGGCAAGGCAAGGATTTTAGCCACTAGGCTACTGCGCCGGGCTCCACAAAATTAGTTTTGAATCAATAATTGTTCTTATGTTGAAATACTATTAAGTTTCTTTCTTATAACTGAATGATCAAGTGTTTTGAGAATCAGCTAATTCACTCACCTCTGAGATTTCTAATAGTAAAAATTGTACAGTTTATACATTTGAAGATGCTTTCAAGCACAACGCACATGGGGCAAGCCGAGCAGTCGGTGTTAGACGAGACCAGCTCAGAGCTGCCCTGTCACAGAAAACGGGGGTGGGGCCGCAGCGCCTCCTCCTCGAGATGTCTGCTGAAGGAAAAGGGGGTCAGGCGGGTACATCACCACAATGGCTTCAGCTTAATTAAAACGACAACACTGACTTGTCCATTTTCATAAGCAGCTTTATTTTTGTTTTTAGAAAAATACATACAATAATCAGAACTTCAGTTCTCTTAAATAGTTTTAAATTAAAGTACGCAAGGCATTTCCACAGTCAGAACATCAACACTGCTCAGTGAAGAGTCGGGGTGCTGGCAGCGTGCAGCCGCCCGGAGCGCAGGAGCGCAGCTCGCCCCGCCGCACGCAGGGCTGCGTCTTCTCCCTTCAGTCTGGACTCCAGATCGACACTCTCCTACCCTAACAGCTACAGCTTCCGGTACAAACATCTGAATGTGAGGGTGGACGCGCTCTGGGGTGTATGCTAACAAGCCGGCTTGATCACACCAAAGCCTGCCGTTTCAATTTGGGATTCAGATGCACCGAGCCGCGCCAGGATTCCCTGTCGGTCACGGTCCACCCGGCAGCAGAAGTAATTAAACTCCAGGGCTCCGCGGTGTCTCTGGCCTCCTTCACTTAGGAGCAGCGTCCCGCTTGCTGCATGGATCCACAGCGTCCACCTGCAGAAGGACCCGGCAGTCTCAGCTGCTGGATAGTGTGCGGCTTCCTTTACACACCGACAAAGAAGTGAGAAGGCGAAGGGCCTGGGCTCTGTTCCCCAGGGGACGGCGGCCCCAGGAGCACACAGCTCCCAGTGTGTCACCGGATGTCCCAGGGAGCTTACAGACACCTGGCCTGCAGGACTCGGGGCAGAAGCCGCCTGCTTTCCTCTGTGTTCCTGCTAAGTAAGCAAAGCAGCGAGGCCAGTGAACCACAGAGTCTACAAACGGAGGGAGCAAACAGGCAAATCGGTAGCGGAGTTGAAGGTTAAATCAAGAGTAAGAGGAGAGCGAGCGGTACTTTGTTCTCTGTTCATTGATCTCCTGCTTCGTTTTCTTGATGCAACTAAAGATCTCCTTAAACAGCACCTTGTACTCGGGGGATGTGGAAGTGCTGGGGGAATCGGCGGGCTCCAGGGGGACAGAGGTGGGCTCCCAGCCGCTGGCGTCAGACTCCGGCTGGGCAGCCACTCCGCTCAGGTCCTTGGCTAGAGCCCGGGAGGTCTGGACAGCCTTGTGCGACAGCAAGTCCTGCTCCTGCTGGCACTTGCTGAGCAGCTCCTCATACTTGACCTTGAGGGCGCTGTACTGAGTGTCCACCTCGTGCAGCAGGGAGATGCCCCGCTGCTTCACGGCCTGCGCCCTCTGGATGCAGCTCTCCTCGTGGCCCTTCAGGAGGTCGCTGGCGGCCAAGCTGCTCAGGCCCGTGTCGCTGGTGCTGCGCGTCAAGGGCTTCCGCGGGGCCTCGGGCGCCGGCAGCAGCAGCTCCTCCAGCAGGCTCTGGCTGGCCTCCCGGAAGGGGACAAACAGGGAGTCCGGCACCAGCTTCTCAATGCCGTTCACGAAGGGATGCTCGGCGCGCAGCCTCCGCCGCATCTCGGCCACCTCGGCCTCCAGCTCCCGCGCCCGCGCCCGGTAAGCGTCGCTGGCCGCCAGCTGCCGCTCCAGCTCGCCGTTCTCCTGCAGCACGAGCCCGTACTCGTCCTCCACCGCGGCCCGCCGCTGCCGCTCCAGGCTCAGCTGCGCCTGCAACATGGCCACCGTTTTCCTCAGGTGCTCGTTCTCCTCTTCTTCAGGGCTCTGCCGGCTTTGCAAGGAGGCAATCTGCTCAGCAAACACGTGGTCGTACACAAAGTGTCTACAGGGCAGAGTGAAAACAGGAAGACGAGCAAGTTTTTTTTCAGCTAAATCTTTCAGGAGTGATGACAGTGCCCAGTCCACACTAGAGCAGTGGCTCAAAGTAAAGTTGCGTGGGGCAAACACAGGCTTGCACCTCCTTTTTTAAAAAGCATTAAAAGTACACACAACCTTTACTCTGGAAGAGCAGCAGCAGGACAGCCGCCTCACAAAGAAATGGCACGGCCTCAGCTCCAAATCAATCACAGAGCAGCCTTAACCACACCTGGGTGACCCAATCAGCCACGGGGCAGGCATTAAAAAAGAGTCCTCCAAGTGGTCGCTGGCATGCTGCTAACGCTGGGAACCAAAGTTGAAGTGATTGCTGACCAGGGGCGCCCAGGAGAATCCCCTGGGGTTCTCCGACCCACGCCGAGACAGTCTGGCGTGGGAAGGGGGTGGGAAAAGCTGCTCAAGGGACCCAGGCCCAGCCACGCTGAGCGGCACCGCAGGGCGCTGGCGTCTCTGCTGTGCAGGCCGCGCCGTGCCCTCTGCCAGCCTGACGGGCTCAAGCACGCAGGGAGTGCGACGCACGGCCCGGAGCACAGGCGCTCACTGAACAGTTCCCAAGGACTCAACATCCTAACTCTAAATTGCAGACATTTCTATAGGGAAAAAGTCTGGAGTTTTGCAATTTCTCTTTCTTCATTCAAAGTGATCTACCACCCGCCACCCCACCCCGCTGCAGCCGTCTATCAGAACTGATTTTATACTCAGAATTTACGCCTGTTAAAAACACTGAAATAAATGCTCAAGCCCCAAAAATGAGATTTCAGAATTCGCTCACGCCTCCCCAGGACCTCTGCATCATGTGCAGGCTTGGGGGTGGCCTCAGAGCCGGGGCCGTCCCCCACGTCAGTGCTCCGCGCCCCGCTCCCCGCAGTGCTTACTGGCGGAGGTCGTGCAGCTCCTTCAGACAGGGGAAGCTGGGCGCCGGTCTCTCCCGGCCGCACCTGCCCTGGCTCCTTCTGCCTTGGCCAGCCTTCAGCTCCTCCACCTGGCTCTGCAGGTGGTCGATGTTGGTCTGCAGGCACTCGATCGTGTCAGTCAGGCTGTGAGGACACACAGCAGATTGCTCAATGTTGCTCATGTTCAATTAAGGATGAAAGCAGTGAGAGGTCAGCTGAGAGCTACTCAAGCTGGGTTTTCTTTCTTTTTTAAAGATTTATTTATTTTTATTGCAAAGTCAGATATATACAGAGAGGAAGATCTTCCATCCCATGATTCTCTCCCCAAGTGACTGCAATGGCCAGTGCTGCGGCGATCCAAAGCCGGGAGCCCAGATCCACTTCTAGGTCTCCCATGCGGGTGCAGGGTCTCAAGGCTTTGGGCCGTCCTCCACTCCTTTCCCAGGCCACAGGCAGGGAGCTGGATGGGAAGCTGGGCAGCCGGGATTAGAACAGGCGCCCATGTGGGATCCCGGCTTGTTCAAGGCAAGGACTTTAGCCGCTAGGCTACGGTGCTGGGCCCAAACTGGGTTTTCTTAATTAGAAAGGACTTCCTCGTATGTAATCTCCGTTTTCCAAAATAAACTAAATTAAACCTTTCCCCACACAGCCCAAAGCCCACTGCAGTTACTGTCCAGTTCCTGCCCCGTGACTGCCCCCTGCAGCTGCCTCAGCAGAGGCCGGGAATGCCTTTACCTCAGAATCTTCTGCTGGGAGGCCTTGCTGTCAGCGACCAGCTTCTGATTGGTTTCCTCCAGCTCCCTGGCTGTGACGTCTAACTGCTCGTACACCTTGGCGTGCTGGTCATTCATCTGCCGCAGAAGCTCCACTTGCTTGGTCAGGTACTGGAAGGGAAGATGGTTGGGACCAGGTGACACATGACAGTACCTGCGTTGTTCAGCACCAGTCCTCTGCGTCTCGGCCCGGGGCAGCCAGAAGCTGGCCATCTCTGGGCCCAGCGCGCTCCCAGCCAGCACCGCGGTGTGGTGGCCGCCAAGCCAGCAGCTCCCTCACCTCGTGTCAGCTGAATCGAACACCATCACTCGGGCGTGGCTGATCGCATCCCTGGCCTTGTGCCCCCTGGATTCATTCTAGCCCTCTCTCCTACCTACACGCTGGGGAAAGGGCTGCTTGCCCTCCCTCCCCCCAAGATATACTTATTTGAGGGGGCCAGTGCAGTGGTGTAGCAAGCTAATCCTCCCACTATGGTGCTGGCATCCCCCATGGGCACAGGTTCAAGTCCCAGGTGCTCCACTGTCGACCCAGCCCCCCTGCTGTGCACCCACCCACAGCTCCCTGTGCAGCCGATGGGACTGAACGAGATACGTGAGCATGCTGTTTACTGCTTGTTGTTCTCTGCCTGGTCTCCCAGCACCCTTGGGAACAAGTCACTAATTCTCCCAGGGGGCTGGGGGACGAGCCTTTCAGAGCCACAGGAGCAGGCCTTCAATCCTGCCTGCTGCCTGTCAACACCACGGCAGCTTCCTGTCACTGAAGGGATTATGCCCATCTCCCAGGAACGCTGGGTGACAAAAGGCTTCTAGTCACAGAAACATACGAGGGGTCTTCAAAATTGTATGAAAACTGCATATTTCTTTTGAATCCCATTTTCCATGGAATTGTATACAATAGTTGTAGAAATTTACAAGCTACTTTCTATCAACTGTAAGGTCTATCAAGTATTTAATGTAACATACACTTTTTTTTTTAAAAAAAATAAAAGATCAATGTATAACCAAATACTAGAGTCTTCCTGGGCCCAGCATGATAGCCTAGTAGCTAAAGTCCTTGCCTTGCACACATCGAGATCCCATATGGGTGCCAGTTTGTGTCCTGGCGGTCCTGCTTCCCATCCAGCTCCCTGCCTGCGGCCTGGGAAAGCAGAGAGGACGGCCCAAAGCCCTGGGACCCTGCACTTGTGTGGGACACCGGAAGAAGCTCCTGGCTTCAGATTAGCACAGCTCCAGCCATTGCAGTCACTTGGGGAGTGAACCAGCAGATGGGAGATCTTCCTCTCTGTCTCTCCTCCTCTCTGCATATCTGACTTTTCAATAAAAATAAATCTTAAAAAACAACCGCAACAGCAACAAAAAAACCATAAACACTGGAGTCTTCCCTACCGAGTGCAACGCTCACACCCTCCATAAAGGACACAACCGCCCGCGAAGGGCAAGCGAAAGGCCAGTGTTTTTTGGGGGGCGGGGCAGAGTCTGACGGCAGTGGCGCAGCAGCTAAGCACACACAGGCTAAGGTGAGGATTTACCCAGAAGTCCCACGTGCCATGTATAAACTGGGTGGCCCTCAGCAAGTAACAATTTTTCTAAGGTGAGGTTTCCTTATGAGCGATCACATCATGCTGTAATAAATATGTCCATGTGGGACAGACAGGGATATAATGTCCCCCCAGATGACTCTAATAAAGGAAAAACAAATCTGAACTCTAACTACAGGGCTAGTGTTCATCAGGTTTCCACCAACGCCCCACACTCAAACACCTTTGGCTCAAAGTTCTCCATCCTATGCTCTCAGGAGTCTGATCAGTTACGTTTTGTTTAAATTCCTGCTTTTTGGGAGAGCTGCGTAGGACAGGGTCCCGTAGACATAGAGGAAACAAACAGAACTTCAAGCCACCCACCCCAGGCAAGTGCCACAGGAGGAGACTCTAACCTGCAGAACCAGGAGACCTAAACGCACAGGCCCTTTCAGGAGCGACAGGTTCTGCTGCTCAGGGAAATCCAGAATTACATGTCTTTCCCCCCACGCTGACCCAACACCAGCCCCACAAGCACAAGCCGCCTCACACCAAGGTCCCATATCCCACTGTAAGCGTCCTCTGCCGAAAGCCTTCCTCGGACCCTGATCCAGGGGGCAGGTCTGAGTCACATCCCCTGCCTCTCGCTGGCCAACGGGTCTTTGGGTCTTTCCTTCTTCCTTGAAAGACTGGTCTCACAAATTAGTTTCTATGCTCCTCAGGCAGCGGACTTGCCTAACCTGGTAACAATTTTTGGCAATCCTGATGGGACGAGAGGTCCCCTGCCTGCCATGGCATTGCACCACTGCCCTCCCCAGGGTGGCTACGGGGGCTTGAGTTTTCCCAGGCACTTGTATCCATGTGGGAGACCTAGAAAAGTTCCTGGCTTTGGTTTGGCTCAGCTCCAGCCATTGCGGCTCTTTGGGAAATGAGCCAGCAGATGGATAATGTCTCTCCTTCTGTAAATCTGCCTTTCAAATAAAAATAAATGAATCTTTAAAAAACTGCTTCTTTACAGCCCTGTAACACCTATTATTGGATTATAACTGTATTCTTCATTTTTGAGAAGAAAACTCAATTTGTTATATTCTTGGTGGTTTTATTTTATATTTTCCTTTAAAACTTTGTGCATTTTACCTGTCAAAATTCCACAGAAGCACAAACTCTATAAACTACACATCACTGGCCTGGCACTTTGAGATGATGTCTATTGCCTGTGGAACAGACAAGCCTGATGATGGACTTGGGCGAACAGCCTGAGAACTATTTCTAAACATCCCTGTCGCTCTAATAAAGCTTAAACGGTTCTGACTTGGACTCTGGGTCGTCAATCACTTCCCTTCCAATGTAAAACCAGATTAGACCAATAATCAGGACAGGTCCATTCTGGCAATGAGGGACAATCAAAGCCTTGCTGTTGGATGCCTGCTCAGCAGTGCATTTTCCATAAAAGGATCTCAATCATGAGGAAAGAATGCAAAAGTTGTCAAGATCAAGATGGAGTCCCTTTTGTCAGCCCTAATGAAAATAAAGCTAAGGCTAAGAAGAAAGGGCTAAGGCCCAGAGCGGTGGCTCAATGACTAAAGGTTAAAGTAGGGTAAGGTTAACATACAGAGAAAAAATCAGCACACCGACACTAAGAGGCCAGTTCGAGTCCCAGCGGCTCTATCTCCAATCTAGCTCTCTGCTGACATGTTTGGGAGAACAGCAGAGGATGGCCCAAATGCCTGGACGCCTGCACACATGTGGGAGGTTCAGGTGAAGTGCCTGGCTCCTGGTTTCAGCCTGGTCCAGCCCTGGGTGTTACAGCCGCTTGAGATATAATCCAGAGGATGGAAGATCTTTCTCTGCCACTCCCTCTCTCATTTTCAAATATTAAAAACAAACAAACAAAACCATACACAGGAGGAGCCAGTGCTATGGTTGATAGGACGAACCTCCTCCTGCAGCAATGGCATCTCATATGGGCAGTGGTTCATGTCCCGGCTGTTTGCCTTTGCTTTCCTCCTTCCTTCTCTCCCTCCTCCCTTCCTTCCCTTCTTTCTTTCTTCCTTTCTTTCATTTATTTGCTTTCATTGCAAAGGCAGATCAGATTTAAGGAGAGAAGGAAAGACAGAGAAATATCTTCCAATTGCTGATTCATTCTACAAATGGTCACAACAGCTGGAGCTAAGCTGATCCAAAGCCAGGAGTTTCTTCTGGGTTTCCCATACAGATGCAGAGTCCCACAGCATTGGACAATCCTCTGCTGCTTTGCCAGGCCATAAGCGGGGAGTGGACGGGAAGTGGAGCAGCTGGGATGTGAACTGGCACCCACATGGGATCCCGTTGCATGCAAAGTAAGGATGTAACCACCGAGTCATGGAGCCATTGTAACAAGCCCTGAAGCTCCAATTCTGATCCATCTCCCTGCCTGTGGCCTGGAAAAGCAGTGCAGGCTGGCCCGAAGCCTTGGGACCCTGCACCCACATGCAGACCCAGAAGAAGCTCCTGATCAGCTCAGCTCCCACTGTTGCGGCTGTCTGGGGAGTGAACCAGTGGGTGGATAATCTCTCTCCCTCTCCTGTAACTCTGCCTTTCAAATAAAAACAAACCTTTAAAATAAAAACAAACATTTAAAAAAAATTCTTCTTTCAACAATGAAACGATTTAAGATTCTAGGGTATTTTGATTTCACAGGACTTGGCTTTAAGGATAATCTAAATAGCAGGGAGCTTGTTCTCATTGGTAGGAGTTTAATCTTATTAAGTTAAAATTAATCAGAAAAGCCCTTCACTTCTCCAAGAATCAGTAGTAGCTTGCCTACAAAGGAGTCTCACTAAATTGGTCAGCACTTAAAAGAAAAATGATAAAATCTCTATGCAGACATCTGACTTGATGTCGTGTTTCAGGGTCAGTATTTACAGGGTGGGGTGTGCCCTCACAGGTAAGATACTGGTGAGGACACCATGTCCCACAACAAAGTACCCGTGAGACGAGACAGGCACAGGATAAAATGGGACTCAGTAAATCACCTCCCTTCCATCCAGAGGATGCAATCATGGCTGACCACAGGCTGCCCTGCCCAACTTCAGTCGGCAGCTAGGAGCCCGTGAAGGCATCCTACTGCGTGGTTAGGGACTGCCCCAGCCCACGTATACCAAGAGCAGACCAGCATGACTGACACATGGCCTTCCTGGGGAAAGGACGGTGGGTAACACCACCATTCTGAGCATCTGTTGTGCTCAAGCAGTGACTGCGCCTGTGCAAAACATTGTAGCTGGGTGCAGGCCGGAGTGCTAAGTGCTGAGCCAGACTGAGGGACACAGCCACACCTCCCCAGCAGGCTAACAGCTGAACCTCTGGTGCAGATCCCATCAGAGAGCCAGCTGGGAGAACCTTCTCCCACAGGCCGTCTCTATCGTGACTGGGCAAAAGCTCTCAGGAAACTTGGCTCTGTCGACAATTTCTATTACAAGTGGCCAAGAACCTCGAGTTGTATTAGCTGGGTCTGATGATGGCCTTTGGCTCCTGACTGCAGCTTCTTGTGAATGTCACAGTGGGTGCAGGTTCTTGCCATCAGCACAGGATACTTCAATCACTAACACAGGGCCAGAGCTCCTCCTGCCTCTTTCACAAGTCTCTAGAATGGCTGAGGAATTCTTGAGACAGCTTTGTAAGCTGTTTATTCCATTGTGATACTGATTTCAGTAAGTATTTATTCATTATTTATTAAGTGACAGACCACAAACAAATAGGTCTGCAAACAGACCTCTGCAATGTTGCAGTGGGGGAAATCATGAAATAAATATACAAGGAAGACTGATAAATGCAGTGCGGGATACACAAAAGGCTTCAGCTTTCTAAAGCAGGCAGGAACTCGTACGAGGAGGAGGACCCTGCAGGCCAGACTCCTCTGAGTGGTTGGCCCAGCTCCTACAGTGATGACGTGGTGTTCAGAGAAAGAGGTAACAACACAGCGGGCTGCAGCCTGTTAACACGCTCATAGGAAACTGTAAGGGAATCCGAGGGTGTCCGATGGTGTCTGATCTCAACAGCCTCCAAAGCTTCTCTCCTTTCCCTTCCCCACCAACCAGGAGAGAAAAACTTGCTCTGGACCTAAAACTAAGAAGTTCACATTAGCACTGCAGCAAAAGACACAGGCTGTTCTGAAGCTGGTGGAGCTACTGCTTTCAATAGCTTATTTAGTCTTTTAAAAAGCAGAAATGAAGAGGCTGGCATTATGGCATGGTAGGTAGAGCAATCATCTACAATGCTCATATCCCATTAGGGCATCAGTTCGTGTCCTGGCTGCTCTACTTCCCACCCAGCTCCCTGCTACTGGCCGGGGAAAAGCAGCTGAAGATGGTCCTGCACCCACGTGAGAGATCCGGAAGAAGTTCCTGGGCTCCTGGCTTCTGCCTGGCCAAGTCCTGGTGTTTTCAGTTACCTGGGAATAAACCAGTAGCTGGATGATCTCTCAATTTCTCTTCCTCCCTTTTTTTTGGGGGGGGGAAAGATTTATTTATTTTTATTGGAAAGGCAGATTTACATAGTAAAGGAGTTAGAGAGAGGCAGATCTATTATTAGTTCACTCCCCAAACGGCTGCAACGGTAGGAGCTGAGCTGATTTTAAGCCAGGAGCATCTTTCTGGTCTCCCACATTGGGTGCAGAGGTCCAAGACTTTGGGGCCGTCCTATACTGCTTTCCCATGCCATAGGCAGGGAACTGGATCAGAAGTGGAGCAGGTGGGGCATGAACTGATGCCCATATGGCATCCTGGCACTTGCAAGGGGAGGATTATCCAATTGGGTCATCGCACTGGGCCCCTTCTGTAACTTTCAAACAAGCCAGCCAAATAAATAAATTGTAAAAAGTGAAAAAATATGCCTACCAAGAATACTGGTCATTTTTCAGGAGGACTGTTTGTAACCTAGCTGTCTTCTTTGAAGTCCTTGCGGTCCTCTGTCCATGCTAACTGCTGGGAGATCTTACCCTGTGTTTACCAGCTCTGCCCTCTGAGTCACTGACTCGGAACAGTTTGTCTCCAGACTATTTTTCCACACTGTCGCATTTGAAATTTCTCTAGGTGGTGTGGAAGAAAACTTTTTTTTCTTTAATTTTTAACTCTTTTTCTAAATTTAAAAAATTGTCATACATTATTTTTCTAATTAGGAAAATATTCTAAAAAGTTAATTCATAATTTGTTTAAGTGTTTCATGTAAAGTTCAAAAACAGGCTCTAGGGCAACAGAAAGTTGGGTAATGGGTGTGATGCCTGGACTAGCTGATAATGTTCTCACGCCTAATCTGCATGCTGGGCACCACCATGCTAAAAACACGCGCTATGAAAACTCATAGCCTGCACTTGGTAGCTATGTTATTTTCTATGTATATCAATTAAAAACTTCAAGAGGAAGAATTGATGTAAGGCTCAAGTTATAGAAAGAGTTCTCCCAAAGTTCAGGGAGTTCCTGTTAGCTACAAAGGCGAAACGTACAGACACTAGAGCCACCTTTTAGTAAGAACTGCGATCTCCGAATGCCTGGCTGCTTAGACTAGAAAACCAGACACTCCCGGCTGTGGACTACTGAAGACCTGAGAAGTTCACCCCGTGTGATGGCTGAGTCGGCCCCGGTCCAGATGTGAGGCAACAAGCAGGCAGGACGGCTAGGGGGTTCCCCTGCTGGCAGAAGGCTTAGCTATCACCACCATCTCATCGCCCCCAATACCACAGGAAAGGAAAAAAGAGGAGCAAGAGTCCTCAGGTCTAGTGGCCGTGCCTGTCATTTCAACATCAACAGGCACCGTTCTTCCACCTGCACATATTTTTGGACTCCTTTGATGCAGACTGGAAGACAAGCTAAAACAAGCAGCTACAGGCATTGATGCTTTCACACGAAACATCAATACAATATATTATGACTACGTTTCTACACAAATGCCTCATAGCCTATGACAGTCTGCGACTATCAAACTGAGTTAAAAATGTCTACCAAAAAACAGCATCTAACATTTGGCTACCCCCTTTTTTTTTCCCCCAAGATTTACTTATTTTTATCTGAGATGCAGATTCACACAGAGAAGGGGAGACTGAGACAAAGAGAAAAATAAAGAAAGAGAGACAATATGAGAATCTTCCACTTGCTGGCTCAGTCCCCAAATGGTTGTAAAGAATAGAGCTAAACCCATCTGAAGTCAGGTGCTTCTTCTGAATCTCCATTCGGGTCCAGGGGTCCAAGGACTCGAGTCAGTATCCGCTGCCTTCCAGGTCATGGTCAGGGAGCTGGATCAGAAGTGGAGTACCAGCACTCAAACTGGTGCCCACATATTGGGATGCTGGCACTGCAAGTGAAAGATTAATGTGCTAAGCCACTGTGCCAGCCTGTTTGGCTGGTTCAATAAACGCCTGGCTTTTCTGTACTTTTAGGTTTCTGCCAGTCTTTCCAAATCACCAGATTCAATTTAGGATACAGCATGTTCTATGCTTTTTTTGTTTGTTTTTTCAAAGATCTATTTTTATTTGAAAGGCAAAGTTACAGAGAAACAGGACAGGTCTTCCATTCCCCGAATGGCCACAGTAACAAGAGCTTAGCACATCTGAAATCAGGAGCCTGACTCAAGTCACACCTCCACACGTAACCGCTACGTAGATTACCTCAATCTCCTGTAACTGCTCCTGGTTGGTGGTGTACATCTGCTGAAGAGACTCCTCCAACTCCGTGTTCCGATCCAGCAGTGTCTTCCCGAGCTCAGCAGCAAGCTGGAGATCTAGTAGAACGGGAGACTCTTAGTGTAATGCAAGTTACCTCACTTCAACCTTCCAGACAATCCAGTGCTCGAAGTGAGAACGAGCCAAGTCCCACACTGCGAGCCTGATCCCAGTGGAAGATGGAGAGGCACAGAAAGACGCCTGCAGTCTACTCCGAACTCAGCCGAACCAGGTCCTCCGGGCGGGAGCACTTACGTATCCTTAAGAAATGAAAATCAGAAACCCACTTTATGGGCTGCAGTCATTAAGAATGATGGCTGAGGGGCCCGTGTTGTGGTAGAGCAGGTGAAGCCACCTACAATGCCAACATCCCATATGGGCACTGGTTCAAGTCTCAGCTGCTCCACTTCCTTCCCAGTTCCCTACTAATGACCTGGCAGACGCAGTGAAGGACGGCCCAAGAATCTGGGCTCCTGCAGCCACGCCGGGACCCAGGTGAGCTTCCTGGCTTCAGCCTGGCCCGGCACATGCCCGGCACCTCTTAAACCAGCAGGTGGAAGATCTCAGTGTCTCTCTCACTCCCTGACTTTTAAAATTAAAAAAAAAAAAAAAAAATTAAAAATCCACCTTGCTGTGTCTCATTTACTCTACTTCCCTTCATATTCTTCAAGATAAGCAAACCAGATACACAAAAAAACCTTTTTTAAAATTATTTTTACCTAAAATGTAGATTTACAGAGAAAAGAAGAGAGGCAGAGATCTTTCATCTGCTGGCTCACCCACCAATGGCTGCAATGGCTGGAGCTGAGCTGATCCGAAACTAGGAACCTGGAGCTTTCGTGCGTGTTCAGGGCCTAAGGACTTGGGCTCTGCCCTCTGCTGCTTTCCCAGTCCCTTAGCAGGGGGCTGTATCAAAAGTGGAACAGCCAGGACACAAACTGGTACCCACATGGGATGCCAGCTCTCAAGGCAGGAGGAATAGCTTGCAATGCCACCATATTGGCCCAAACAATATGAATTTTAAGATTTTTTTTTTTTATTAGAAAGGCGGATATACAGAGAGGAAGAGAGACAGAGAGGAAGATCTTCCATCTGATGTCTCACTCCCCAGTGGACGCAATGGCTGGAGCTGAACCAATCCGAAGCCAGGAGCCCAGACCCTATACTGGGCCTCCCACGTGGGCGCAAGGTCCCAAGGCTTTGGGCTGTCCTCTACTGCTTTCCCAGGCCACAAGCAGGGCTGCCGGGATTAGAACCGGCGACCATATGGGATTCTGGCGCGTGTAAGGCTAGGACCTTAACCACTACGCTATTGCACTGGGCCCAACAATATGAATTTTTTAAGGATTCATTTTATTTATTTAAAAGGGAGAGAGACATCTTCCATCTGCTGTTTTATTCCCCAGATGGCTGCAATGGGCTAAGAAGAGTCTGGGACTCCATCTGGGTCTTCCACATGGAAGGCAGAGGCCCAAATGCTTGGTCATCACCTGCTGTTTCTCCATGCATATCACCAGGAAGCAGGACAGCTGAGACTCAACCCGGCACCTGGTCTGAGATGCTGACTTTGCAGTAACCTGTGGCTCCACAGCGCTGCTCCCCAGCAACGTGGTACTTGACATAATGACCACTCAGCAACTCAGCGCTTTCACCTTGAAACACATTTTACCGTCATTCTCATTTTTAGTTCTTTCTCTTCTTGGGCATATATATCCTAGACAGAGTATTTTTTTTTTTAGATTTATTTTATTTTTATTGGAAAGTCAGATTTACTTTGGATTAGCTCAGCTCCAGCCGTTGCAGCCACTTGGGGAGTGAAACATCAGACAGAAGATCTTCCTCTCTGTCTCTCTTCCTCTCTGTATATTCACCTTTCTAATTAAAAAAAATCTTTAAAAAAGAGATTTACAGAAAGAAGGAGAGACAAAGAACTTCTACCAGCTGGTTAACTCAGCAGGTGGCTAGGACCAACCTGCTCCCATATGGGATCCTGGTAGTTGCAAGGTGAGGATTAGTCACTTGGTTGTCACGCCAGGCCTATTGCACACAATCCCAACAGTGCAAACTTAGTAATAACGAAGAACACCAGCTGCGACACGGATAGCTGAAACACTGAGCTTGCATAGTAAATTTTTCTGGGGGGGGGTGGGAAGCAGAAGCAGGTAAGTTTATTTTGGCACAGAAAAGTTTCTGAAATGCATAGTTTTTTTTTTTTTAAATATATGCATCTTCCCCACGGACTTTTTGAAGCAGAATCTACAGCACTGACTGATGTTTTAGCCTGTTCCTCTCGCGGCCTCTCCCTGCCTGGAGCCGGCAATGAGGCTCAAGTCCTTGTGGGAAGTGAAGCACAGCCTAGAAGCTGCTCATTCCCCGAGTGCAAAACCAGAACACAGGGCCGTCCGGAAGCTGCGCTCAGCATCACTTCTGGCAGAGTGATGGCTTCCGGTGACAGCAGGCGGGGGAGCTGGAGGGGTCTAGCAGTGTGTGTGTGTGGGGAGGGGGCAAAGACTGATTTTCTTTTGGTGCCTTAACTCCCCATATTTAATCAGGGACAGACTCCTGGGTCCTTCCAAGCAGCAGGTGCCAGAACAAGAGTGGGTTTGTGAAAAATGGTTGCCATTCAGTTCACTCCTCAAGTGGCCTCTACCCGAGGGGCAGACGGACACTGCACCACATCCCACTGCTCCCAAGGGAATGGCAAACGGAGACAGCTTTCCAGGCAGCTTCGGCTGCTGCAGCCGAAGTGGTCTTCATTCTGAAGACATCTCTGATTTAGGGATGTGGAGCAGGCTCCAGAGCAGACTGCCCTCTCGGGCTGCACAGTGAACTTGATGAAGCAATCCTCCACCGTGATGGGCTACACACTCAACTCCGAACTAAGGTCCAGCTCTGCCATTTCCTGGAACGTTTTCCTGTGACTAAAAGTTCCTGCACTTACACTTGGCATTCCCGATACATACTTCGCAGGCAATGTAACACTGTGAAAATTAACACACAGTAAGAAGGGTGCAGAACGGGCTAAGCCGCATCCACAGGCCAAGCACTACTAGCACAGGTTTCTGTGGCTAGGCACTCTGCCAAGCTCTGGCTATAGGAGCAGGGAATAAAGTGGGTGTTACTTCCCCCAGATGAATGGGGGAAGCCAGACAGCAAGTAAGTCAACTCAGAACCTGCGGTAAACATTATTCACACATTCATGCTGCGTGCGGCAAGATCCGGCATCATTTCAGGCGCTGGGGCGGTGAGGAACTCAGATGGGAACAACTCTGCTCTCCAGGAACTTGCGTTACACTGGGAGACACACCAGGACACCACAGGTATCAGTAAGTGCTTATCCGGTCAAACGGATCCCACAGTAAGTAAGAATGGAAAAGCAACAACTTTTGCTACTGATAATGTCTATCCTGGTGCATAAACAGTGTGTGACTTCGTTTTCACTCATCACGGAGAACACAGCAGCAAAACCTCACACACAGTATTCCAGCTCATTTTAAAATATTTTATACCCATTTAAATAAAAGAAAATTGTTGGCAGTCAGGTGCCAAAATATATTCTCTGATCTCAATATTCACACACAAGGCCTGTGACCGTTACTGCATTAAGGCTTCAGTCAGCAGGTCTCGTGCTCCCACGACACAAACAGCTGAAGGCACTTCAGAAACATTAATCTTCCCAAGACAACCCGAAGCACGAAGCTGTTCACTGAGCTCATCAAATCACCCAACTGACAGGTGAGTCACAGGCCAGGCAGACACTGCCAACAGGCTCTCACCCTCCCTCTCCTCACCATCCTTCAGCAACAGTTTTAAGGCTATCAAAAGGGAGGGCCACATTTTTGTTGAAGGTAGGTAACACACACCGCCCTGGCTAGGGTGCTTGGTCGCTTCCATTTGCTTTCATACACAGCAACGGAAGCTACTTTGGCTGCTGTCAGCTCTGCCGCCAGGGCGCCTACAACCCCAGGCAAACGAGTATCTCGTTTTTGCCAAATGACAAAGGGACGACGTATGGCTGAAGATGTTCCAGAAGTGAAGTGTTTGGTACTCACGGGGTGTGTAACGTGTGTACACGGACCATACGGAAGAGAAGGCATCAACCCATGACCTGGTATTGACCTGCTTCCTCTGGGCCTGCTGCACAGCGGCAATTTCTCACGGAGACCGGCAACCACAAACCGAGCCGAAAGCTCTTCCAAGGCGGCGCTGACTCGAGGCTGTCAGCAGCCCTGTTAGACGTGAAACTGCCTCTGCTGCTTCACGGCAGCCAGGGACATCCTTCCTGCGGCTGCTCGCGGCAAGAGATGCCAAAGATAGCACTGCTCAGCAAAGCGCCCGGCACAAAGAATTCGAGACTTGCCCTTATCTTCAAGGCTGAGTTCCAGCAAACAAAGCCCCAACCTGGCTCAGCGACTTCGAGTCTCTTAAATATTTCACAGATGTTTAGGATAGAATTTTAGCAAGTCTCAACGAAAAGACAGCGCTGTAAAGTCACATTGTATAATAGGGTATTACCTCATCTGCTGAAGATAACCAACTTTTTTGGTCTTTAAAAGCAGTCTGTTTCCTGTTGTGCAGCATCTGGCTCCCATAACCATAAGGAGCCAAAAGCTGGCAGCAGGCCCAAGAAGGTTTTCTAAATAATTAGTGGAGGGAATGTAAGAATACTGAAAAGCCTTTTTGATATTTTTAATTAAGGTACATAAGAAAAGGAAACAGTCTACGTTCCAAGCCACCCACACCTGTTCCCTATTGAGGATTTTCATTAAGAGGCTGTCTTTTCTAAATCCTACTGGACCGGCTTAGACAGCCACTAAAAACACCATAGATTTATCGCAGGCTTGAAAGTTGTAACACATCAGCACCATCACATGTCTAATATTTTTCCACTAATCAGTCCTTTGTAGGCAATAATACCCCACTTAAAAAAAGATTTATTTTGGGCCTGGCGCGATAGCATAGTGGTCAAGGTCCTAGCTTTGGGTGCGCTGGGATCCCACATGGGTGCCGGTTCTAATCCCAGCAGCTCCACTTCCCATCCAGCTCCCTGCCTGTGGCCTGGGAAAGCAGTCGAGGACGGCCCAAAGCCTTGGGACCCTGCACCCACATGGGAGACCTGGAGGAAGTTCCTGGCTCCTGGCCTTGGATCAGGGCAGGACCGGCTGTTGTGGCCACTTGGGGAGTGCATCATCTTTTTTTAAAGATTTATTTATTTTTATTGGAAAGGCAAATGTAGAGAGAGGAGGAGAGACAGAGAAGATCTTCCACAAGTTGATTAACTCCCCAAGTGGCTGCAATGGCTGGAACTGAGTCAATCTGAAGCCAGGAGCTTCCTCCAGGTCTCCCACACAGGTTCAGGATCCCAAGACTTTGGGCTGTCCTCGACTGCTTGCCCAGGCCACAAGCAGGGAGCTGGATGGGAAGTGGAGCAGCTGGGAAATGAACCAGTGCCCTTGTGGGATCCTGGTGCATGAGAGGTGAGGATTTAGCCACTAGGCTATTGCACGGGGCCCAACAATACCCCATTTTAGTGGTGTCAATTGGTAGCCTGAAACAAGTACTCAATCTTGTTTAAAAAAGGGGGTGGGGGGTCTGGTGCGAGGGTTCAGTGGCTAACTCCTCACCCCTCACCTTGCAAGTGCTGGGATCTATACAGGCACCAGTTCGGATCTCGGTTGCTCCACTTCCCATTCAGCTCTCTGCGGACTGGGAACACAGTAGAGGATGGTCCAAAGCCTGTACCGGCGTGCACCTGCAGACCTGGAAGAAGCTCCTGGCTTCGGCCTGGCTCAGCTCTGGCTGTTGCAGCCACCTACTCAGTGAACCAGCAGATGGAAGATCTTTCTGTAAAATTGCCTTTCCAATAAAAATAAATACATCTTTAAAAAAAAAAACTAGCTTGTGAGTGATTTTAAAGATTGAGAGGCAAAGACAGTGAGCTCACAGGGTTGGACCTGGAAAAAGCCGGAGTTGGGACCCCAGTCCAGGTCTCCCCGGGGGTGACCTTCCCGCGGCTTCCCCGGGTCTGCATCTGCAGGGCAACAGGAGCCAGAGCCAGGACTCTCTCGGGGCCAGGACTCACCCCCCTTACGCGACAGTCCTCCTCAATGCTAACTTCCCACCCCTTCCAATTTTTTCTTAAAGGACCTTTCTTCCAGACTTTCAAAACCTTGAAATTCCACTACTACATTTCTATTTGGCTTAAGGTTCTTAAAAAAAGAATATGAAGGTAACATTCCATGTCAGCTGTAGTAGTAAGGCTGAAAGCGTTTCCTATTACAGTCAAACACGTCGCTCGAGGACTCTTCTGTTTAACGCACACTGCCAAAGCTACTATAATTGGGAGAGCAAAAGAAACCAGAATATAAACACCCAGAGACACGACGGGATGTCACTGGACCCTCTACACAGTTGTGCAAAGGTGAGCAAAGCACTTGCACACACAGAAGTAGTACTCATCCTGGGGAGAAATGTCAGGATTCCTTTAAGCCAAAGTTGTCATTTGCTGATGCACAGGGGGGACCCCACGTCCTCCTTGTGAGACTGCCAACAGCTGTAACAGCTGCTCTCACAGGAAGTCCTGTCTGGGGTCTTTTCACTTTGTTCTTGGGGAGCTGGGGGGGCATTCAAAGCGAGCACCATCAGATCTGCGCAGAAGGCCCCTGCTGTGCCAGAAAACATCTTGCCCACAGAGATTACTGTCCTACCCCGGCCCGCTGACAGAGGACACTCTGCACTGAAGAGTTCTGTCAGAGGACAGGGTTCCTCCTTCAGCCTGCTAGCAGCTTCACAGGTTTCAAACAAGCCAGGAACAGAAGTTTACTGAGGTTAGAATTTGTCAGCTGTCTTAATTTAAAAAAAAAACTATTAAGCTCTATTAAGCTCTATCTAGCCCATTAAGAGTTCCACCTGGAAAATGATTTGTTGCTAAAGAAAAATATTTTCTCATCTTAAGATTCTGAGAACAGATTCCTTAAGTTGTTTTTTAAACAACATTCTTCAAATAAGCCTTGCTCACTAAGATGAGAGCGAGGATGTTAAAAACCGAACAGATGTTTGCGCATGATAAAATCCCACGAGACCTGCTGAATCTATCTGTTTAACGGGACAGACCTGCTACCCGGGTTTTCCCAGGAGCAGCTCTGTCAGGGCCTGCACAGGCCAGGCTCCGCGGTGGGCAGAGACCACGGAGGCGGCACCTCCAGGTGTCTAGTTCAGCCTGAAGCCCCGACAGCAGGCACCTGTTTATCCTACCGTGGGGCTAGGCACTGTGGGCTGCAATATCGAGTTAATAAAAAAAAAATGCAGCAAAATTGGGAGCGGGGGAGGGAAAAGATCGGCTTTTATTCATTCACACTAGAGCCTTTTACAGGGCATGATCTCAAGTTAGGAATGTCGGAATTTCCTATCTTGTACTCCTCCTCCCCTGCCCCGTAGCCAGTTATGACACAAAGGGTTATATCAAGTCCCACTGTAATCAGGAATGCAAAGGCTCTGAGAAGTGGGGGACAAATTCCACATGCAACTTGGCAGCAGACTCACAGGTTCTCTACCGCTTGCTAAACCCGAAGAGCTGGCATCTGGATCAAGGGTTAAAGAAACTTCCACCTGTAACCCCAACAGGTTGCCTGGGCCCCTCAGTGCAATCACACACGACCTACATTTGGTGGCTCCCAACACCTTCCCGCGGCAGGGCGTGCAGTGCGGATGAAGGCACGGGACACGAGGGGCCGTGGACACAGCAGTCCCGTGAGGGGGCTTCAGTTCAGTTTAAGACACAGGGTGGGAAAGGATCTAGCTTTGTTACACAAACCGCTTAAGTTATCACAGGGAAATGGTGTAACTGCACGATGGTTGCCTCAGCGATCCTAGAGAAAGCATCAAAGCAGGCCATCAATCCTGATGGGGAAACCCAAAAACGGGTGAAAAATGGATGACAAACTTGTCCCCAACACGCAGGATATGATGGCCAGCTTGGACTAGAGAAGCAGAGCAGGGAGCTACCTGGGGTTAAACACCTTCGAGGTAAGAAGTCACCTCTCCCCAGGTGAGGAGTTTGTGTGGGACTTTCCTAAGTTATTCAAGTCTGCCTTTTCAGCCGAGCTCAAGGGTGAGCACGCACAGGCATCACGGCCGTGTAATACTCAACTACACCAATGCTAATTTGCTCACCAAGTTTGGAGCTGAGAGAATTTACAAAGTTGTATAAATGTTAGATGCCAGGGGGTGTGTGAGTATGTGGGGAAAATACTTTAAGACATTATTCAGTATCGTGGTGAGGAATGTTTGCTCTGAAGAGTGGAACCCAGCCTTCTACTAACAGGACCTTGTGGCTTCAAGGAGCATCTGCATTATGGGTACGTAAAAAGTGTTCCCCAAGTGCAGGCTCTATTCCTGTGGGGGTTTGGGGAGGGGGCCTGACTCCCAGCTGAGGGCTGCTCTCCAACTGTCCTTCGCAGACCCCCTGAGCAAGACACTCAAGGCAGGTCCGCTCCCCGCGCAGCGCAGCCGGAAGGAAATGGGGGGAAGGGCTGCCCAAGTCTGGCCTCTGGTGAACTCTGAGCAGAACAACCAAAGCGGCTCAGCACCCCACTGCCAGCCGCTGCCAGCTGGGCTGGTAAGGAAGACGGGGGGCGGGGGGGATGGTACACCAAGTGGCTACCCTTCGTTCCGAGTGAGTCCAAACACACCTGCGCCCACACTTCTGTCGCCTAATTTGGTCTAGCCTTGGCTTTGCTCCTCCGGAAAATGGGACAGCAAAAAAAGTCCCTCTCCCCTGGGAGAGCGGAAAGAAACTGGTATTGGCCAAGGGCTGTGGCACCAGGTGCAGCGGCGCCCGCTCCGCGTTGCGCCCACTCGCACCGGGCAGCAAGGGGTCAGCGGCCTGCTAGGCAAGGAGGCGGCTTCCCGGCCGGGCCACTTGGAGCAGGGCACGTTGCTTCCTCCCCGCCGTGCCTCGCAGGGCCAGGTTGAGGATTAACTCAGTAATCCTGGGAGAACGCTTTAAGTGCCGGGCACGCAGGTGGCACCGCACGCGCCTTAGCGCTGATTATCAGGGCTGCGATGGGAGCAAGGCCGAGGGCCCCCGCGCCCAGCCTGCCTTCCCGGCCTCGCCGCCAGGTGAGCCCCGGTCCTGCTCAGCACCTGTGTGGTCGGCCGCCAGCAAAAACAACTTTTTTTTTTTTTTTTTCCTTAAAGACGGGTCCGCGCCCGGCCGCCCCTCAGCCGCCCCGCCGCCGCCCTCGCCCTCACCTTGTTGGAGGTCCTGGTGGTCGTACCACGGCTCGTCCTCCTTCATCTCAAACTCCTCCACCAGGTTCTCCGCCAGCATCTCGGCCGGGTCTTCCCGGGGCAGCGGCCCCCGCCGCCGCCGTCCCTCCTCAGCCGCTGCCCCGGGCTCTCCCCCGGCTCCTCCGCCCTCAGCCAGAGCCGTCCTCGGGTGGGACGCGCCGCCGCCTCAGCACAGCCCCCGGTCGGTCGGCTGCCGCCAGCGCCAGCGGTTCTGCCTGGCTTTGCGACTCGCCTCGCGCCGCCCCGGGGCCACCCAGGGCCCTGCACACACACACGCGCGTGCACACACACACACACAGCCCGCAGCCCGCAGTCCGCGGCCCGCGCCCGGCGCGCCCAAGCCGGCTCCTCACGCCGCAACCCCGGCCCCAACGTGGCACTTTGGCAGAACCCTCCCCGACCGGGGACCCAATTCAAAACCCCGGCGGCGCGCCGACCAATGAAGAGCGGGCTGCCGGGTGAGTGGCAAGGCCTCCGCCCAATCACCTCTCTCCTCGGGCTCGCGGCTCGCCGAGTCCCGAGGGCAAGCAGCCAATGAAGGTTCCGCAAGGAACAAAGAAGGCGGGTGGAAAGGCGGAGGGGTGCGGCCGAAGGTCCCGCCCCTCTGCCGGCGCTGTTGTAGCTACGGAGGAGGGGGCGCGTTCGGGATTCCGGGGTGTCGTGAAGGCGGCGCTCGGCGCCTCTGCGACTGGGGTGCGTGTCGACCCGGCCTGCTGTAGTGGACAGGCTGTCGTGGGGCAGGAGGGGCGAGGGCTGTCCGGCCTCTGGGCGGCTGTCGTGGGGCGCCCGCGGTGCCGGGGACCCCGCTGCCCAGCCCGCCTTTTGTCGGCGTTCCGACCCCGCACTCGCTGTCGGCGGCGCGCACGGACTCGGGATGGATCGGGAGTTGAGGGCTGAGCGAATACCTTCTTGAGTGTTCGCGTCTAAGCTGCCTGGAATCGTACCCACTCCTTCCAGAAACGGCGGGCGCCAAAATCGCTTGGGAAAGCGGAATCCGTTGGGGAGAAAAAGATTATATCTCTATCTACACACACACATATATATATTTATGTCAGGCGGTTGATAAAGGTGTGTGGACCACGAGTTTGAGCCTGTGCTGGGGGGCCGTGCCCCCTGCTCCCCACAGACGTGGCTAGCAGGGGTCCCCACGAGGGTCAGGCTCTTGTTGCATCCGGAGCTCTCGTTGAGGGGACCAGACTAGAAAGTAAGTGTTGTTCACCTTAACGAGCAGGTGCAACTGGAAAAAAAAAAAATCGAAAAGCCAAGAAGGTGAAGAAGTACGTTTCTAGAATGTAAGGTAACAACGCACCGAGGCTAGAAGAAAAAAGGACAAGCAGGGAGCGAGCCGAAACTCGCTGACAGGGCAGGCTTCTGAAGTGGTGCCCCGTGGGTCATTTCCACACCCCTCCCCTCAGGAGATTACAGACTGCAGTGGGAACTCCCCGAAGGGAGGAATGAGTTGGAATTGTTGACCTTTTGCTTTTTCTTATCAGCCCCTTTGCGATTCGTGTTCACAAGGTGAACATGTCACTGTGGATAAAATAATGATAATAATAAAAGGAAAGTTGTAAGGAAGGTGTTCTAGATCCTTCCAACTATCCTTATCTTCCTGTATGAAGGAGTAAAACTTGTTGATAGAGCGGGAAACTGCCCTAAGTCATCTACATAAATAAATATTCATGCGAATGGGAGAACGCCTTTCTTGCCTCCCCATTCCTGTTCAAATCAGTGGCAGCTCCGGAAGATGCTGTGAGTGTGGGAAAGCTGGACTCCAGGGTTACCTCCCTCCGGGGCTGTGGACTGTTGCCCTGCGGAGGAGAAGCAGGCTGAGTCCTAAACTCAGGACTCTAGCCACGGCAGGTGTCAGTGGAGGAACCTTCGGCAAGGTACAAGGTGGACTCCTTCTTAGCCACCCCCACATGTCTGCAATGACCTTGACTGAGTCAGGCTTACACCTGGGAGTTGAGGATTCAATTCAGGTGCCCCACATGGAGGAATACAACTGCGTGAGCTTCCTCCCAGCAAAAAGTTAAAGTCAGAGGCTAGAGTGGGGAGTTGAACCCAGGACACATATATTTTGAAATGGGATGTCAACCCCCCAACGAGGTTCTTAACTGCTTAGGCTAAATACCTGTTCCTTGTGCCCTTTCTAAATTAAAATCATGTCATTGCTACTGATACTGCTAAAATGTAGGTACCTGTAGGGACATTCATGAATATTAAAATAATAATAATAAATGTAGGTCATTGGAATGGGGGACATGCAGTCCTGCCAAGGTGACCACAGGCTGGACTTGTGGCTCAGTGAATCTAGAGCCGGCTGATTTGTATGGTCTGTGAGCGATGTTATGTCTAAATCATCCTTGGCAGAAAAAAGGTTCCCTCCCACTAGATAGGTTATAATCCCATGGAAGAAAAGAGAAGAAAAGGAAACGCCTTCGTCCACACTGATATAGACAAGTAAGAGAAAAGAAAGCTTTCACACACACAACTGCAGTACTGGTGATCTGCATAACAACAGCAGCAGCAAAATCAGATTCGACTCTTATCATCACAGCAGAATCTATATTTTACCAACACCAGTTCACAAACGGGAACCTATTCTTTGTTCAGTCTCCAGACAGTGCCTGGCATGCACACAGATTTAATAATCTACTTTGATGATTCCAGGATCCCATCCCCATGAAATCAGAATCAGTTTTGGGTCTACCCAGTGAAGAGTGAAGCTTAGAGACTTAAGTCATTTGATCACTTGAGTTCCATGCCTCTTCCTCCCTTCTAACTGGCCTGTTTTCCTAAGAAATTAGGCAATACGGACTGAAGTTCCTGCTTGGTTATGTTCTGGGTCTCCAAAGTTAAAACAGAAGCTCAAGAATTACTGAAGTTAATTAAATGTCTCAAGTTATCTGAATATTTCTCTTTTCTGATTTACTAGGACTATGCAGACATGGCTGAATGTTCAAGTGGGACAGGGATCACATAGGAAGATTATTATATTTTAAAATCATTTTTATTTGAAAGGCAGATTTGCAGAGGAGAGACAGAAAGATCTTCTCTATGCTAGTTCACTCCCCAAGTGGCTGCAATGGCCAGAGCTGAGCTGACTGAAGACAGGAGCCAAGAGCTTTTCTGGGTCTTCCATGCTGGTGCAGGGCTCCAAGGCTTTGGGCCCTCGACTGCTTTCCCAGGCCACAGACAGGGAGCTGGATGGGAAGTGGAGTAGCCAGGACATGAACTGGCACCCTATGGGATCTCGGGACATGCAATGCAAGGATTTAACCACTTGGGCTATCTCGCCAAGCCTGATTATGCTTTCTCTTAAAAGTATCTTCAAGATTAATAGAAAGTTGAATATATGCCTACCTACTGCTTTCCAGTTCTACAAAGCTCTTCTTTTAGTTCTGTTTGTAGAAAACAAAACTAAAAGATTATTTTGGTGCAAAAATTATTTGAAATTCATATATAGTTTTTTTTTTCATATGATACATGAACTTTTAAAAGACCCTCTCAAAGGCATGGATAAAAAATTTTTTACACCAAAATAAACTTTTAACTTCATTTTCCATGGACTTTTTGAAGAATCAACATACAGGTCAAAGAGTAAGTTGGTTGCTGGATGTAAGATCCTCAGAGTAAGGATCAGCATATGTGATTTCTGTACCCATCTCAGCGATATGGCCTTTGAGTGAAAGCTTAAATAGTCCTACAGAAAGTCAAAAGAATAACCCCTTCAGACGCAGGCCTGTCCTACTGAACAGAGCTTACTAAGAGCAGGGCCTTATTCTGTTCCTCCTGTTTAAGCAAACGATAGTCATCTCATTGTCTTTTTTCTGTTGCAGCCTCCCATAGGAAGGGCAATAACTTGCAAACATGTCTCCCCCCAACCGCTAGTTATGCCTGTCCAAACTCCTGTGTAAACCCCACTTTGTAATTTACAAGCAATATTGAAAAAGATAAGCAGAGTCGTACTCTGTGTAGAGTTCCTGGTAACATCTCAAAAAGTGAATGGGTAAAACTGGTATTCAGAGGCAGTAGTTGGAGATTCTTATTTAAACTAGTGTCTGGTGGAATTTTGCCACCCATCAAATATTGCAAATAATGAATTTTAATTTTTATTCACAGAGGGAAGAAGATTGCCTGTGTATGCAACATGATCTTTTTAAATATGAACTCTGCTGCTTGGGCATACTCTATGATCACTCTGGGGACTGACCTGCTAAATTCTGCCTTCAGCTTCTACTATGTGAAACTCTTTTTGCATCTGTACAAGATTTCAGAAGAGACCTTTTGTCAAGCCCAGGTGAGATGGAATCTTTCTTGTCCTGCACATAAGATAGAACGCCTTCCTTGCAGCTGTGTGTTGCTGTGATTGGACAAAGAGCTGCTGCGGTGAGAGTTCCAAAGATGACTGACCCCTGTTCAAGACTCTGTTTGAAGTCAAAGAGAGATTAAAAAAAATTATCATTGAAAACATAAAAGCTTTAGGGTTTAAAGGGCAAACTGGTTTCCCAGAAAATGAACTTATGTGGAACAATACTGCTATTTAAATTTTTAGAAATTTGTTAAGAAACAGAGTTGGGCCTGGCACCATGGCCTAGTGGCTAAAGTCCTCGCCTTGAACACCCCAGGATCCCATATGGGCATTGGTTCTATCCCGGCAGTTCCACTTCCCATCCAGCTCCCAGCTTGTCGCCTGGGAAGGCAGTCGAGGATAGCCCGGAGCCTTGGGACCCTGCACCCATGTGGGAGACCTGGAAAGAAGTTCCTGGTACCCGGCTTTGGATCAACTCAGCTCCGGCCATTGCGGTCACTTGGGGAGTGAACCATTGGACCGAAGATCTTCCTCTCTGTCTCTCCTCCTCTCTGTATATCTGACTTTGCAATAAAAATAAATAAATCTTAAAAAAAAAAAAGAAGAAACAGAGAGTTGCCATTGGCTGATTCCCCAAATGTCTGCAACAGCCCTGACTAGGCTGGGTCGGAGCTGGGAGATGGGCACTCAATCCAGGTCTCCTACATGGGTGCAGGGACCCAAGTCCTGGCAGGGCCTTTCTCAGCAGTAAGCTGTAGTCAGAATCTGCAGCCAGGCACTCCGCAGCCCAGGAACTCAGACATGTGTACCTTAACCTGCAAATTATTCCCGAGGCAAAACACCTAACCCTTAGCGCTGTTTTTAAGGACTGGACAAAATAATGTTAGTACATACGTATGTGATGCCTGAACAAAAGAAAATCCATACAAGGAAGACTTCTAAAAGTTTGTGGGAAATGGAATTTAATGCTAAGTTCATTTTGGTGCAACACTTGGAAATCCATGCATCCGAGAGGTCCTCAGGAAACTCATGGCAGTCTCCTATTATGAAGAAACTATGCAGGCATTTCCAGCACTGTTGGCACCAACACAGACAATTCTGTTTTCTCACAGACTTTTTGAAAAACTTTCATTTTGGCTGTTATTAATATTTCAGTTTACCCTGGAACCAGTAAGCTTTTTGATGGATTAGCTTTGATCATTCCACATAAGTGAAAAAAAAAATCTCAGGGGTCATCTTTATCTTCTCCTGAACATAGTAGCTTATAGTACTGCACTGAAATAATCATGTTTTGTTTTTTACTACCTAGGCAATTTTGATGATCTGGAATATTCTTAATGACCTGATTGGGTATTTTTGTGACAGTTTTAAGTCCGACTGTGGTATAAGCCGTTATCTTTCTGCATTGCTGGGTGGCCCTCTGTGTGCAATGGCCTTCCTGCTTCCTTGGTTCCCTTGGAAAAACTATCAAGAAGGCGACTGGCTTAATGGAATTCACCTGATGGTGTCATCATGTGCCTTTGAGAGCACCCTCTCCTGTATTCAGCAAGCCCAGTGTAGGTGGTTTATAGGGACCTTCCCAAGACACGAAAGTAGGCTTCGTCTTCTTAAAACCAACCACGCGGCATCACTGATGGGCTCGGCCAGTGTCCTGTTCTTTGGCCTCATCTCTAATAACATGGAGAGTTTGCCCGAATTTCAGGCTGCCGCTGTGCTCACTGCCTTTCTTGCTGCTGCCAGTATCCGTGCTGGCATGAACCACATGAAATGTTTTGAATGGAAAAGAAGCCTGGAGGACAATGTGCCCTCGGGGAGAGAGGAGGATCTTGCCTTGTGGATGGGACAGATCTTGACCCAGAAGAACTTGTACCTTTTTCTGATCACGAATTTCTTCCAAGTCTTCCACTTAGCCGTCTTCAGCAACTTCATGATGATCTTCACAGATCACCTCATTCCCGGGGACAGCCTTTCTTCGTCTGTAAGGAGCGTCATGTACGGAGCAGGCTTCGTCTGCCCACGGGTATGTGATCATTCCCTGTGCGTTTTAATACCTGATTATGTCAGAAGTCAGAGCAAATGACATACGTTTATTAAGAGACCCAAAGAATCAGAGCCTTACACACTGTACAGAGCTCCAGAGCTGAAAGGAGGGGCAAGGCAAACGGAGCCCGGTGAGAATCTAGCAATGTGCTATTTTAAACAAAAGAAACTTGAGGATGTGATTCCCCTGAACTTTCTCATCTAAACCTCAGCAGAGATATGGCAGAAAATAAATAGCACTCTGCGAGCATGTACTTTTGCTTTATTAGGGTATTTAAGATTTCTGTATCTGTCAACTTGGAAGAAGTTATTTGGTAAAGAATTCTTAGAGTCACATTCCAAAACTCTTGGCTGAAAGCCCAAGCCCTGGAATTCTAGAGTGTTATTAAAATTCCACAGCCATGAGCATTATTGTAGAAAGCATGTCTCTCTTCAAAAACATACACTAGTCTGATGTTTATCATGACATCTGGAGGGCTGACTACAAGGGTACTTCAAAAGTTCATGGGGCCCAACAAAGCAACCTAGTGGCTGAAGTACCCACCTTGCATGTACTGGGATCCCATTTGGGCACTGGTTCGTGTCCCAGCTGCTCCACTTCCCATCCAGCTCCCTGCTTGTGGCCTGGAAAAGCAGTTGAAGATGGCCCAAAGCCTTTGGAACCCTGCACCCATGTGAGAGACCCAAAGAGGTTCTAAAACTTTTGAATTTTAAGAGTCTTAAAAGGTTTCAAATTTTGGAGTAGTTCAGATTTCAAATGAAGAGTGTTCAGACTGTAAAAGTCTACGCACAAATTGAAAATTCAAATGTACATCTACCATCTGAAACCTTAATGGTCCCAAGAAATTGGGGAGGGTATAAAATGGAAATCCAAAATTACTTCACATTTTTTCTTAATTTTTAGAGAAGTAACATGTGCCTGAATTATTGTGGTTAAAGAAAAAAAAAAAAGCTCACCAGATCCGTTGGTGGAGTCAGGGATTTCATTACGTCCCATTAGCCAGTGGACACAGCGCAGAGGGCAAACACAATTTCGGTTTTCTGAGGCTGTCTTCTCAGTGACATTCTTTTTGAGGAGTTGAGTGAATGAAAGCAGAAAAGAATGAACAAGTGTTATTTATCTGTAGTAACTCTTTGATATCGCACTGCCCTCAAGGAGGTGGAGTAGTAATTGGGTTTGTATAGGGAGCCTGCCCTGGACAACTCTGACGCCCCCATTTACCAGCTGGCTGATGGTGAATTTCTCCAACCCTGTGTGTCTCACTTTTCTCATTTGTTGAATCAGAATAAAAATAGATCCTCTCTAATGGGATTACTGTGAGGATTAAATGAATTATAGGACATACAGCATGCTTAAAATGTTTCCTGGCATAAACTAGATGCTGGAGGCCTGTTAGCCCTTGTTATGAACAACCTCCAACTCTCTCAACAGACAGGAGTTCAACATGTACTGCCAGCATGGCACTGCCTTCACAGATGTTTTTCTTTAATCTTTAATTTTATTTTTAATATTGTTTACATAGTTGGGAGATACATGCCCATGTGGGCCTCTGATTAGGGTGGGGAGGTTCAACTACAGGGGAAGGTGGGGGTGGGGGGGACACATTTCAGTCTTTTTTTCCTCCTGTTTCTGCAGGGGAGGAGGGGAGAGGTCCACTCCTTGTTGTCAAACTACATCAGTGCCCTGGGATGGGAAACGGTCCTTTGATGACACCCTAGAAACCCTAATGTGGGGAAGAGTGTTCTGAGAGTGTTAATTGAATGGTTTTAATAGTTTTGAAAAGTTATTGGTTTTATCACTCTAGGGAAGAGAAAATCTTTCTAAGGTTCTATTGTTTAACAAAGTACATCTTAGTGTACCCACAAACCAAGACACTTGCTACCCCATGTACATTAGGACATGCTGTCCACCTTACAGGCATCAACAACTGGGGAGACCCAGTCCTGATACATGCACTCCCAGGTCGGACCACACAGCCTGTGATGTTTCCTGTTGCCAGGATCTGAGTCCAGCAGTCTGGTCAGGGAGTCCCCCCAAGAAACCTCGCCTGGGGTGACCTCAGACTTGATTTTTATGTGTGCCAGCCAGTTCAGGGTCAGGTGTGGTCTTTCACCTGCACCTATATTTCACATGAACCCACGGGTGCTGTGACCCAGATCAGCCAGCCTTCCACAAACCCGTCCTCATTTCCAACAGTGAGTGTTTAGTTTAACTGGGGTGAACCCCAGTAACCATCACCAGATCCACCCCTCAGTGCTGTTTTTTGTTCATGTCTGCCTCTGCTGCCACCTAGTCTGGCCCAGCCCATATCCCACCTGGCTCTCGTGCATTCCAGTGGATGCTGCAGCTTAGGTACATTGTAAACATGTGGATGAAGGAGGAGGCAAAACCTTCAGTATTTATTTTAGTAAAGGGAAAAGGCAGTCTTTTTCTTCTTTGATGATTTTTGTAAGATCATTCATCATTGACTTGTATCTTTATAAATGGTGGACACAAGAATGAAACTAACAATGACTATGGGGGGCAAGGTGCTAGATTGAGAGGAGGAGGGGGAGAGCTAGGAAACTTCTCTTATATAGAGTAACTTAATTGTCTGTGAACATGTAGCTGATGAAAGTGGCAAAAGTAGAACTCAAACTTGGGGCATCTGATATAAAACTCTTGGGCCATCCACTCTGCCCCACGTTTTATATGATGAATTTCTTATGTGAATGGTTTTCTTTTATATGTGGAAATATGTTACTTTCTAATGTTCTAACAGAATTGGATTTACTGAGGTGTTTTACTTTAATAGTTATTTATTTGAAAGGGAGAGAGAGTGCTCCAATTTGCTCATTTGCTCTCTCAAATTGTCGCAGTGGAAAGAACTGATCCAGGCTAAACCAGGAGAACTCCACTGGGGTCTCCCATCTGGGTGGCTGGGGCATAAACATCTGGGCCATTTTCCGCTGTTTTCCCAGGTGCATTAGCTGACAGCTGGATCAGAAGTGAAGCAGCCAGGACTTGATCTGGTATTCCTGTGGAATGCTGGCATCACAGGCAGTAGCTTTACTCACTGAACCACAATGCCAGCCTCTGCTGGGGTGTTTTAAATACTTTCTCATGCAGAACTCTAAGAAATGCCTTGGAGCTTATCAATCACTATTGTTCTTAGTATCCAGAAAATGAGCTCTTGTTCCTTGAAAGTACAGAAATCAGCCAAAAAGTCAGCTGGGGTGGGAGTGACCCTTATGCTTATTACAGAATGCTTATGTTCTACTTACATTACTCAAAATCCTCTTCTAAATGTAACACACATAGGTTTGGTTAGTGAAAACTTTCAGCGCTAAACAATGTGCTATTTAAGTTGAAACAAAGGGTATTTTCTGATCTTTGTTAATGTGCATGTGTGTACATTTAGCACTCCCCATCTAAAACAGAGAATTGTTATGTTTGTAGCAAAGACTTTTTAAAAATCTAGATCAGAACTCTCTATATGAATCCATTAAAATTATCAACATATGAAAGGTTAGGACTATAGTCTGCAGAAATGTAGACAGAACTATAAGCTGTTGTTTACTTCTGGCCTTGAGTTTAGGATAAAAAGTATATTTTAGTACATGACAGAACAAGGTCAATGAAATTTTGATTTATATATCAAAATTTTATATATATCAAAATTTATATGTACAAATATTTATTTTATTTACTGTATGACAAGAAAATTTGAGGCTTTAACCCCGAATTTTAAATTTTGGATTTGTTTCAAATTTGAGTTCCAAAAAAAATGGTTTATTTCTAAGTGATGGATTTTTTAAAAAAATAATATGGTCAGTTTTACTAAAATCTCTTCACTGTATGAATATAAAAGAATTAGGAAACCATTGTCTGGTTTGTTCATTTGTCTTATAGGAAGCAATGGGGTTTGTTATCTTCAGATTATTATGATTAATTTTTTAAAAGATTTATTTATTTATTTTTATTACAAAGTCAGATACACAGAGAGGAGGAGAGGCAGAGAGGAAGACCTTCCGTCCAATGATTCACTCCCCGATGATTCACTCCCCAAGTGACCACAATGGCCAGTGCTGTGCTGATCTGAAGCCAGGAACCCGGAACCTCTTCCGGGTTTCCCACGCGGGTGCAGGGTCCCAAAGCTCTGGGCCGTCCTTGACTGCGTTCAAGGTGAGGACCTTAGCCACTAGGCCATGATGCCGGGCCCTATGACTAATTTTTTATAAATATAGATAATAGCATCTCTAGCCAAGGCAATGTTTTAGCATCAAATAGAATAAATAAGTCTCACATGTGGGTTCCTTCTTAACCAACCTGTCTGTTTCCATTTCAGTGCCTCCTACTTGTGGGTCATTCCTGGCTGAAGAAATTTGGTTATTATAAGATCATCCTAGTTTCTTTCTACCTAGAAGGGACAGCTTCCATTATCATGTTACTTCTGGGAGCGGACTACTATTACTGTTTGGCTCTCTATCTCACGCTTATCATGTAAGTAAAGGTTGATTTCCAGCTCCAGATTACACTAGCTCCTGCTGTTCACCCTCTCAGGTGGCGAAATGTCTTTGACCTGAACTGACTTTGACACCCATTTCCAGGTAGGGTTATCACGCCTTTCTGCCCAGTCGATTGAATAGGAACCTCTTGCCTTTAAATTTGTAGTAAATAGTGCTTTAGTTTGAGCAGCAGACAGACGGGGCTCCCATCTGCTAGTTCACTTCCCAAAAGGGCTGAAGCTGAGAGCTGTGAACTCCATCTGGGTCTCCCACATGGGTGGCAGAGACCCAGTTACTTGAGTCATCACGGTTGCCTCTCAGGTTTTCAGGAAGCTAGAACTGGCAATGTGTCAGGTCTCTAACCCAGGCATCTCTTTTCATGTGTCTAAACCCTGGGTCTTTCCCTGTGAGGGGACCTGCTCTTTTGACCTTATCACCCATTTTGGGAAATGGCTCCTCCGTTTAGTTGCCCAAGACAGGGACTGAGAAGTTGAATTTGCATTCTCTCTTCTTCCACACCTGTAGCCAACCCAGTGCCAATTATTAGCAGTTTCATCTCCCTGTTAGGTCCTCAGCCCAACCCTCTTATGTTCTGTGGCTATTTCTCTGCCCAGGTCCTCCTCATCTCTTACCAAACAGCCTCTTTCATGGTCACTGTGCCCTGAGTCTCCAGTCCCTTCTCCCTTCCCCTAGTCTGTTTAGAAGTACCTCATCGCTTTGCTTGACGATCTTAAGTGGCTTCTCTCTGCTTTCTAGATATATCCGAATGACGATGTGTGATGTCCTTTGTTATACAGACTTTTGTTTTTACTTCTTTTTCTTCACTTCTTGTTAATCCTCCAGTTACATCATCCTCTGCCATACAAACACTCGGCACTTCCTGGTTCAGGCACCTCAGTGTCTACCAGATGTGATTTTCTGCAGCTGTAAAGCTCTTACCCACTTCCTCCTTGGATCCCTCCTCATGTTCCTTGAGGCTTCAGCCCAGGCCTGTGCTTCCCCAGGAAACTTTGCTTTCCCTCTTGGGATTAGGTGTCTTTGCCTAGGACCCCAATGCCCTGGGCCTGTCTGCTGTCATGCTCCTCCTGTATCTCCCTGCAGCTCCAATTGTAACAGTTTTATCTGTAAAGCATTTTAACCCTTTTTCTTTTCCCCTTAGGGTGATAGTGCAAGCTTCTTATTGCTTATTTAACCTGCCTCTAGCTGACATGATTGACGCAGAATTACTTAAGTTCAATAGGCAGTAAGTATATTTATTCAGATATTAGCTACAAAAATGTTACACGTCGGCAAGAGTATTAGAGTCTCCATCTTGGTTACAGTGCCGCCACTGATCACATATTTCAGAGATGATCCTAAGAGGGGTTGTTGGGTATTAGGGAGGGGGACAAAACAGGATATTGTTATTTGTCTGCTCTAGGCAATCTCCCCTCACTTCTGAAAGGACATGGAATATCTTATCCCTCAGTTTTATGTAGTCAGTGCTGAAAGGGGGTTAAAATATCAGAAGCCACAGCAGAATCTCAGTTAGCTTCATGTTCCACATATTGCATATGCACAGGACGATAAAGCACATTGGCTTTTGCAAAAGTCAAAATAAAGAATAAATCAAGGCCCATATTATTTTTTCCTAGCTTAAGATGTATAAGCTTATGATAAGAGGCTTTGTTCTTTGGTATGGTTATAAACATTTTAGATTAGCCTTAAAATTCTCTTGATTGGCAAATATTTTATGATATGAGCCCTAATCTATAGATTAGAGAGGAATGTATTAAGAACACAGGAAAGATTTTTGTTAGCTCTTTAGAAACATTTATATTGAATGGCCTTTTCTTCTTAAATATATTTATTTGAAAGGTAGTGTGTTATAGACAGGAAGACACACACATACACACACACACACACGCACACACATGCACACACACGCACATACACGCACACACACACGCACACACACACACACACAGGTTACAGGGAGGGGAGAGAAAGAGAGAGAGAGAGAGCAAGAGATTCCCCCCACGTGCTGACTTCCCCCCCAGATTCCTGCAAGAGCCAGGACTAGGTGAGGATGAAGCCACGAGCTGGGAACTCAGGGACCCTAGTATTTGAGTCATCATTGCTGTCTCCCAAGTACATTAGCAGGAAGCTGGATCAGAAGCAAAGGCCCTCAGATATGGAATGCAGGTGTTTCAAAGGGTGGTCATAAAGTCCACTGCTGCCCTCATCTCCCCGCCAGCCTTTTTAACACTTATTTGTTTGAAAAGCAGAGTGATAGAATAAAAGAGGGAAAGAGAGATTGTTCATTTGCTGGCTCATTCCCCAAATGGTCTAAATGGCTGGCTTGGGGTTAGGACAGGCCCAAGCAAGGAGTCATGGGAGCTGGATCAGAAGTGGAGCAGCTGGGATTTGAACTGGTTTTGCAAGCATCAGAATTATTGGCTAAATGCCACCCTAGTCCCTTCCCCTGTTTTTAATGTGACTTACATTGAGGAAACCTTTGCTAGTTGCTTGATTTCCTCTTTGCACAATTTGTTTCTTGTTTTGGGGTTTTGTGGTTGGGTCATATTTAGAGCGAAGAGGAAAACAGCAGGCTTCCTATGGTTCAGGACCATGTCTTCCTTTTTGGAGCCCTGTGCCCAGAGACCCAGAGAAGTGGCTGGTTCTGAAGAATTTGGTTTTGGTTGTTTGAGTGACTGAAGTTATCAAGCAGTAGCTTCAGTAAACATCTTATACCTCTGAAAAATTGTTTTTGAGTGAGATGGGTTTCAAATAAATAAAATATCTCAAGCTGTTTAAAGGGAAGTGCACTGGCATTTACCAAATGCAATGTGTGTACGTGCCACATGTTTGCTCATTCAAGTCCCTGCAGCAGCTTTGAGTGATAGAAATAATTGTCTCAACAAATATTTACTGACTGCCTCCTGGGTGTCATGCAACACGGGCAGAGCTGGGGAGGCAGAACAGCAGGTGTTAAAAAGGCCTCTGCAGGTTCTCTGATCCCTGCCTTCATGGGATGCTAAGTCATTCTCAGGCACATGGTACCCTGATTGTTTGTGGCTAAGTGGCTACAGTCAGGGATACTGGTGTTTATTGTCCCCAATTCAATTGTGTCCTCCCAAAGGACCAGTGCATTTTGATTTTAAATTTGTTAATGCCAGATGTACTTATTATTATATATATATATATAAACAAGTGATTTAATTATACTTATGTTTTATAAGCTTAGGAAATGAAGTGTGAAATTAAAGTTATTCCCACAAAAACTAATTTGAATGACTTAGACTTGATAGAGGAAATTTGTTTATAAAAAGTTACCTCAAGCTTGTGGTGAGAACTTAAAAATCACGCAATCTAAAGGTATTCTTGGGGCTGGTGTGGTGGCATATGGGCTAATCTTCCACCTTGTGGTGCTAGCATCCCATATGGACATTGGTTTATGTGTTGGCTGTTCCACTTCTGATTTGGCCCTCTGCTTCAGGCCTGGGAAAGCAATCCAGAAAGGCCCAAATCTTTGGGACGCTGCACCCATGTAGGAGACCAAGACGAACCTCCTGGCTCTTGGCTTTGGATTAGCTCAGCTCTGGCTGTTGCAGCCATTTAGGGAATGAACAGTGAATAGAGGAGCTCTCTCAGCTATAAAATCTGCCTTTTAAATAAAAATAAATGAATCTTTAAAAAAAGATATTCTTTACTAGACTACTTTCAAACTTCATGTTCTATCTCTAATGGATTGTAGAAATCAGACCACGTGGGATACTGTTTACTCCAGAAAGGTGGCATAGAACTTCCCACTGACTGACCTAAAAATTCAAAGACAAAATCCTGAGAAAAGACTGATGAATGAGTTTAGTTAACATAAAACAGTTCCTGTCTCTTCATTTAAGGATTATTGTTCCTGTTGTCATCATTATCACCGGCTTCGGCTGTCTTGACCATATGAGAATGGAAGGTTTGCTACTGCTCTGAGCAAAAACAGATGGGAAGTCCCTGAGCTTGTGACACTTAGAATTTGCTAAAGGAGACAGACAACATGCATATTTTCCTACAGTCATTATCTCCAATAGCAGGAAACAAAGACCTGTGAGGGATTAACTTTACCAAGGCAGTGTAACCAGCAGACTGAAGAATAGGGAGTGATTTCAGTTTTTCCAGGAAATACATTTGATTTGTATTACGTGATTATTAAACAAATTCTATGGCAAGATTTTTACTAGGAGTGCATTCAATGCCACTGGATGAGATCTGGGCAGAGGGACTTGGGCGGGAATCCCAGCTCTGCCTCTTACTAGCTGTGTAACTGTGGACAAGTTCCTCTTTCTCCCACCTCTAAAGTCAGGGTGGTGCCATCTCCCTCATGCACGGGACAGCTGTGAGGCTGAAATGAAGTCAGCTGTGTAGCACATTTAATACGATCCAGAGCACATGGAGCTGTCACACGTTAAGCACTGAGGAGATAGGTTGGATCTTAGTTCTTTCGTTTAAGAGTCAGGTTCTGCCACTTCCTTACTACAAAGAGGTGGATGTTTTATGAGGACTGTATAATATTACCTACATGGGGTCCAAAAGGACTTCATAGATGAAGAGGTCCTTGACACATACACACTGTATGTATGAGTATGTAACACTGTGCACATACATGCATGTGCACATATGTGCTATAGACTCACACTGTTTTGTCTGTTCCAGGCCACTCTTTCCCTCGATGGTTTTTGGCATCAACGCTTTGCTTACCAAACCTGCTCGGTTTTTAGCTCCCATGGTGATACTTTCTAAGCTCACTCAGTTTGGATATACAAGCCCAGACAGAAGGTAAAGTAAAAACAAACAAAAACCTTTGAAATAATGTGATGGAAATGTAAAAGGTAGCCCAGCTTTTTACATTAGCTGCTAAGCAGTGATCTTGGACTTTGGATGCTGTTGGTCATTAACTCATGTAACTTGGACAGGCTGTAATAAAAAAGTATTAAGGTTACTGGGCAGAGGGACGTGGGCATCCATATATTCACACTAAACTACATGTCGATTGTTTTATTGTATTCATCCATTCATTTTTTTTTCATTTCAGAAATGTTTTAGGGGGTTGCTGTTATATGCCAGGGACAAAGGTATTGGAAATGAAAGGTGAATGAAAAGCCTCCAAGGAGCCTCAGAGATTACAACAAACCGTACTAAGAGTTCCACGCACCCACAGTGGGAGCACGGGTAACATGGATAAGAAATTCCTCCCTCAACCTACCCAGGGTCTGGAAGCATCTCACAAACAAGGGGCTGCTTAGACTGAGTTTTAGAGGCTGAGCTGAGTTTCCCCTTCTGAACAAGGAGGAACATTATGCCAGCAACAGACAACAGCCTGGCACATATCTGGAAGCGAACCCTCAAATAGCTGCTCATTTATTCATCTGAGAAACATCCTGGAGAACCTACCAAATTCTAGGGTAAATACTACGCAATGAGGTGTGGCAGTGAACAAAGTCACAGCAATCTCCGTTCTCATGGAGCTGACATTCTAGTGGGAGGGAGGCAGACAAGAGGTTAAACAAGGGCAGGCACTTGGTGCAGTGGTTAAGATGCCACTTTCTGCCAATGCAGACCCGGGAGATAGCAGCTGATGACTCCAGTGGTTGGCTCTTTGCCACCCATGCGTGAGAACTGGGTTGAGCTTATGGCTCCTAGCTTCAACCTGGCTCAGTTCAGGGGCAACAGCATGTGAGAACCCTATCTGTCTCTCAACCTTGTGAGTATTAATTTAAATAACTATTATGTTTGTAGATTGGAGGCATCCACAAGTGGACGTGTGGAATGATGTGGCATTTCTTGAACAAATATTTGCTGGATATCAGCTGTTTTCTGGAGCTTATCTCAAATCCAAAGAACAGATAGGAAAGACAAGCCCCACTATGAATTGAGCTTATAGTAGATTCAGTGAAATCACACTGCTTGTGTGCTGGGCTCTGCTGACAGACTAGGCATGGGATACTGTGGGAGTACACGTTGGCTGTGTGTGTAATTCAGACTGGGCAGCAAAGGATATGATGTCTCAGATGAATTTTGAAAATGTGGTGGCAGTCTGTAAATACAGAGGTCTAACAGCATATAATTTGTATGGAGGAAGGCCAAGTGGATTAGTTGTTGAGCTTGGGAAGTATATGCCTGATCCTACATAGAAGCAGTATTATTTTGATTTAATCTAGGAGCTATAACACCAGTTATAATATCTTTTATGTTTTAAATATATTTTAATTTTGTGTAGATACATAGTCATTGTATGTGTGTATTGGGTACATCTTCATACATGTATGCAATGGAGAAAGAACATGCATGTTTGACTTGTTCCTCTGAATTTCCTCTCTATTTGGAAAAGACATGAAGGCCCTGAGGTTATGGTTCCTAGCCTGTTGCATGTTATAACTTGCAACTTGGAACTTGAAAAAGTGCTGATGTCCAGGCCATGCTCCACATTGTTTTGTTTTTAGTTGCAGAGAAAGAGAGAAGAGAGAGAGAGAGTGAGAGAGAGAAATCCTTCACCTGCTGGTTTACTCTCTAATGGCAGCAATAGCTGCAACTGAGCCAATCTGAATCCTGGAGCCAGGAGCTTTTTCTCGGTTTCCCACATAGATTTCGGGGCCCAAGGACCTAAGCCATCCTCCACTGCTTTCCCAGGCCACCAGCAGAGAACTGGATCAGAAGTGGAGCAGCTAGGCTATGAACCAGTTCCTGTATGGGATGCTGACACCTCTGGCAGAGGCTCATCCCACTAATACCAGGGCCCCAGCCCCTACCATGTTCTGACCCAATTAAATCAGAACTTCTAGGGATGAGTTTTAGGTATCTGTGGTCTTTAAAGTTCTGTATATTATTCCATTTTGCAGCCAATATGGAGAACCAACGATTACTTCCTTGGAAACAGAAGCTGTGTATACTAACCTTAGTAGCTTGGGCATAGACATGTTGGCAGCCAAACGCACTGGCCAGCTGATTTCATGACACTGCAAGCAAGCGTAGAGCGATAGATGCATGCAGGGAACCTAAGTGCCATTTCTCTTTGATAATTTAACATTTGGCATCTGGTGGCCCTACACAACTAATGCTAAACTGCCAGTGCCCTGCTGAAGTCCAGGGGTTAATTGTACACTTAGCAGGCTATGGTTTGATGATCAAAGAGAATTTCAAGCCTCAACAATGAAAAGAATCTAGCAAAAATGTCTGTTGAAATAAATTTAACACTTGTGGGGCCAGTGCAGTGGCACACAGGTTAATCTTTTACTTGCAAGTGCTGGCAATCCATATGAGCACTGGTTTGTGTCCCAGCAGCTCCACTTCCCATCCTGCTCCCTACTTGTGGCCCATGACCCAAGTACTTGGGACTCTGCACCCACGTGGGAGACCTGGAAGAAGCTTTTGGCTCCTGCCTTCGGATCAGCTCAGTTTTGGCTGTTGTGGCCATTTGGGGAATGAACCAAGCATATGGAAGACCTTCTCTATCTTTCCTTCTTTCTCTGTAAATTATGCCTTTCCAATAAAAAGAAATTTAACACTTTTTAAAAAGATTTTTAAAAATTTTTATTGGAAAGGCAGATTTACAGAGAGGATAGGCTGAGAGAAAGCTCGATCCTGTGGCTCACTCCCCAAATGACCGCATTGGCTGGCACTGAGCTGATTTGAAGTCGGGAGCCAGGAGCTTCTTCCAGGTTTCTCACACTGGCGCCAGGTCCCTAGACTTTGGGCCATCCTCTGCTGCTTTCCCAGGCTGCATGCAAGCAGGGAACTGGATGGGAAATGGAGCAGCCAGGAAATGAACTGGCACCCATATGGGATCTTGGTGCTTGCAAGGGGAGGATTAGCCAATTGAGCCATCACGTCAGGCCCTTATATTTAACACTTGTAAGTTTTCTAATATCTGATGATTATTTCACTGCTGTAATAAACAGAACTGCACAGATCAGCTATATTGTTCACTTCCCTGATGTTTTCAGAAAATGGTCTGTGATTCCTTTATAGAGTTAGATTAAATGTTCCTTCTGCAGGGCAGATTACTTTACTGTGTTTACTAGATCTATGTACTGCTTAAAAAATATTTACCTCTTTTCATCTACTGGAGGGAGGGAAGGAGGAGAGAGAGAGAGAAAGAGAGAGAGAGAGAGAGAATATCTTTCATTTGCTAATCCTGCAACAGCCAGGCTGGGCCAGCTCAGAGCCAGGAGGAACTCCTCCTGGGTCTCCCACGGGAGTGGTGTGGACCCGAGCACTGGAGCCATCATCTTCTGCCTCCCAGAGTGTGCATGAGCAGGAAGCAGGACTGCCTGAACCAGGACTCAAGCCGGCACTCTGATGTGGGATGCATGTGCCCCAAGTGGTGGCTTCACCCACTGCAGCACTGTACCCACTGTGGCCTAAGGAGTCACTACCCAGCAGCCAGCAAGTGTAATGATTAAACTTCTTCAAGGAAAGCCATAACTGAGGTCCTTGGGAACTAACCTGGTGAACACTCCATTGACAGGACTATCTGTTTTTATCTTAATGACCATACATTTATTACTTTTCTACGGTTCCCAAGTCCATATTGATAGGCGAAAGAGAGTGGAAACAACTCAGACTTTGCTTTGATTTTATGATATGGGTGATCCTGAATATGACAGCTTTAGAGGTGAGTGTAGTCCTTTATTTACCTCACAGAACTGATTTACAAATGGGTAAATTCTGCCAGACTGTAGTATTTTAGGATATGATTACTTGTAAGTAGATACCTTTTCTTTTGAAAGTAGAAGACTGTGTGAGAAAATTTAGTTTTTGTGATTTTTTTTCTTTAAACAGAGATGCAAATACTATTATTATTATTTGATAATAGTAAACATATTTATTATATTGCTACTTCCAATGAAATGTTAGCTTTGCTGAGGACAGGTATCACGGTTGATGTATTTAATGTACAATTTAAAGAATGAGTATGCAAATAAGCACTTATTGAATGAATGAATAATTATGTAAGGCTTAGGAATTGTTGTTCTACCAGAGCTTACACTGGAAATGCTTACACTGGAAATGGGAAAGCATAACATAATACATCAACAGGCTTACTCATATTCCAATGGAGTAAATGTAATGTCAGAGGGGAAAACAAACTCTCTAAAACCCTGGGCATCTCTCTCAGTTTAAAGCAATTTCTTAAGGGCAGGTCTTTGGTGCAGCGGTTAAAATGCTGCTTGGGAGACCTGCATCACACACTGGAATATCTGAGTTTGAGTCCCAGTTCCACTCCTTCAAAGAAGGGATTTATCAACTCTTATCATTAAAAAGTCAGGTTTGGCTAGATCTCAAATGATATGAGGACCCTTTTCCTCTCAGTTTGGTGCAAGCTTTTCCCACACAGCAGCAAGAGTACTCCAGTTTCACATGAGTCTGACAGCCCAAGATCATGAGGCATATGCCCTTCAGTCCCAGTAGCACAGTCAGAGTTCCTCACTGATACTGAAATGTCAGGTTCTCACTGCCCAGGCAGAAGTTGTACCTTGAGGTGTGGAGTCCTCTGATTAGATCTCCGCTGGGTCTGACCTGGGAGGTGAGAGAGTCAGGCTCCATCAAGTCTTAAGGACTAAAGTAGTCATGTGATGGGAGAGGAGGGAGGATTTCTTAAAGAGAGGAAAGATAGAAAAATCCCCAAATGCCCCTGGAGCAGCAGATGGAGTAGGTGAAGGGGGATTGGATGGGACAGCAGTGTGGGCATATTCTGTCAGCACTGTGGATGTCTCTGCTGCTCCTAAAGGTTACTGTTGCTAGGTGATGGGTCACTACAGGTGACCATGGCCTCTGTAGTTATCCCAGGGCTAGGGAAGCAGCGGAAGCAGCAGCAGCAGCAGCAGCAGCAGCAGCAGCAGAATAGAGCAAGTAGATAATTATCAGTTCTCAGGCCAAGCAGGACTCAAAGTGAAAGAAGGGTGGCTTTCTAGTGGCAGTGGGAGGGAGGGCCATGCCTAACCAATGGCAAAGTCAGAGACAGAGCTCCGTTTCAGCGGTTCACTCCTCATCCACAAGGGCCTAGATTAGGCTGGGGCTAGGGCTAGCATCCCAGAACTTATCCCAGGTTTCCCACTTTGGTAGCAAAGCCCCAGCTACTTGAACCATCACCTGCTGTCCTCCCCAGGTCTACACTGAGAGGAAGAGGCCACTGGGAGCAGGAGTCGGGACTCCAACCTGGATACTCTGATGTGCTGGCCCAGGTGCTCACCTGAGCAATTTCTTCAGTGTGAAAAAGGAACAGACTTCTTCCTCTCCCTTTACAGTTTGACTTTTTCTCTTTTTTCCTCAATTGGCTGAATTAATGAGACACTATTTTAGATGGTCTTTCTAACCACAAGGAAGCTTCATATTGGAACTTTAAAACTCTGAATACTCAGACCCCTCTTTTACTGTATATGATTTAAATAAAAAATAGGATCTATCTGAAATATAATTGAGACTCAGAGGAATACCTGAGTTTAATGGAAGTTCTTAGCAGAAAACCAGGCCATTGTCATTTCTGAATTTTGCTATTAGCTCTGGATTCTTCTTGCAACCTCTAATTGTGCTGTATGGAAGTAAGTTTCAACTATCCAATTATTTAAAAGAGTCAAAATATTTGATAAACTTTTACTTTTCCAGTAGATAGCAAAACTTCTCTGAAACTTTTGTTGGATAACTTTGAATTAGTAAGAAAATAAGCTATTGGGAAAACTAACTCTGTTTCATTTCTCCTCCCCTCCCTCTAGTGCACTTCTAGATCTTCCTGGTGCTATGTTTGGTTTGGTTTGCCTGTTACCGTTGGGCATTGCCATAATTCAGATTATGGTTTGGAGCCTGTTCTCAATCAAAAACAAGACAGACTACACGACGACTTTTTAAGGCTCATACCAGCTGTTGTGGAAGTCAAATGAGAGTCAGGTCTTTGCTTTGTACCAGAAGGACAAAACTGTTCTTCAGAAACTCTAGGTTGTTTATAAAGCAGACAAAAACATCTATCATGTTTAAGAGCTTGTGTCTCTATCATTAGAAGATTAAAATATGAGCTAAGACCTCTCTGGTCCAGTTGATCCTGTGGCCTGTACATGCTTGTAACATCCCCAATGGACTGTTACGGGAGCCCAGCAGGATGTGTGTACCACTCCCATTTATGTTTTATTTTTCAACTTCATATTGTTTTGCTTTGCAGCTGTATTAATGAGGCAGCCCTGTTTCCATTTTTCATTAACATTGCCTCACCATCATCATTTTCCTGTGATTGAAAGTGGCGATCACTATACTCCTTGATTTCAGAATATATCATTCAACTGTTGTAATCGAAACCACATGGTAATGGCGTAAAGGCACGCACAGGGGCTGGTGATGTGGTGAAGCAAGATAAGCCACTGAGAGCAGTGACAGCATCCCAAATGGGCTCTAGTTCAAATCCTGGCTGCTCTACCTCTGATCCAGCTCCTTGCTAACATGTCTGGGAAAGACGGCTTGGGCCCTTGCCATCCATGTGGGAGACCTGGAAGAAGCTCCTGGCTTTGGTCTGGCCCAACTCTCGCTGTTGCAGTCATTTGGGAAGTTAACCAGAAGAGGGAAGATTTCTCTCTCTCTACCTCTGCCTCTCTGTAGCTCTGTCTTTCAAACAAACAAACAAGCAAGCAAACAAAAAATAAATCTTTTTTTAAAAGCCACACATACAGAACAATGAAACAGAATTGAAAACTCAGAGATAAACATTGACACATTTGCCATCAACTGATTGGTGATAAAGATGCCAAGAACACACAATGGGCAAAGGACAGTTTTTTCAATAAATATGGTTGGGAGAACTGGATATTCACCACCTATAAAAATTAAATTCACATGGCTTACCTACTTAGATGTAAGACTTGAAACAAAAACTTCTAGAGAAGACATAGGGGGAAGACACATGACTTGAAACACCAGGCAATGTTATCTCGGGTCAGACCTCAAAAGCAAAGGGCAAAAAAGATTATATAAAGCTAAAACCCACAGCAAAGAAAATCATTAACAGAGCGGAGAGACAACCCAAGGGTGGGAAGAAAATATTTGTAAAACGTATTTCTAATAAGGAGCTAACATGCAAAATGTAGGAATAACTCAATCCACTTAATAGCAAGGAAACAAATAACTCTATAAAAATGGGCAAAGGATCAGAACAAGAGAAGACATGTGAATGGTCAACAGGTGCTTGTCCATGAAAGATGCTTAGCATTTCTATCAGGGGTTGACTCAAACCACACCACGAGCTATCACCTCCCATCTGTAAGGACGACTTATCAAAAGGACAAAACACAGCAAGTGTTGGTAAGAACACAGAGGAGAGGAATACTTGGAACACTGTAAGTGGGGGATATAAGTTAGTACAGCCTTCATGGAAAGCCATAAAATTCAAAATAAAAAATAAAAATTAAAAAAATATATACAGCGGAATATTTTGTAGCCTTAAAATAAGCAAAAAAATGTTTTGTTGTTGTTGTTTTTAAAGAAGCAAATTCTATCATTTGCAACAATGTGAAAGAACCTGGAGCATTTGATGTTAAGTACAGAAAGACAGATACCCCATGATCTCACCTCTGTGTGGATTTTCAAAGTCAATCTCATAGAAACGGGGGTGGGAGAGATGGTGAAAGGGTGGGTGTTGGTCAAAGGATACAAAATTTTCATTAAACAGGAGAAATATGTTACAGTGATCTATTCCTCAACATTGTGATCCTAAGTAACACTATTGTATTGAATATTTCAAAACTACTAGGAGAATATATTTAAATGTCATTACCACAAAAGTAAGGAAGGTGCTAGATATACTTATCTTCATTTCACTTTTCTTGCAATGTAGAAATATATGAAAACATCACATTGCACCCTGTATACTGGAGGGTAAAAACAGGGATACAAAGTTCCCTTTCTCCCTTTTTCTCTTGGGAACCCTACTTTTCAAATAAATAAATCTGTGTGTGTGTGTGTGTGTGTGCGTGCAGCGGGGGAGACATCCGCATCCTACGTCAGAGTGCCTGGGTTTGCTTCCGACTCCAGCTTCCTGCCAGTACAGACTCTGGGAGCCACTGGTGAAGTCTCAAGTAACTGTGTCCCAGCCACCCATGTGGGCGATCTGAACTGGGGTCCTGGCTTCCGGTTGGGGCAGGCTATTGTGGAAAGAAGGGTTGCAAATCAATAATCTAGACTTTCACTCAGAAACTAGAAAAAGAACGCATGAAATCCAAATTTAGCAGAAGGATAAAATGATAAATGCCAGAAACTAATAATATTGAAAAATAAATTATGCTAAAAGTCAGTTGTTTGAAAACACCAAAAAAACTGATAAACTTCTTGCCAAATTATTCAAAGAGAGAAGACATCAGTTTTCAATGCCAGGAATGAAAAAAGGGCATCAATCCAGATTTTACAGATTCTTAAATATTATGAAATTTTTGTTTCCACAAATCTGATAAATGTCTCCAACAAAGAAAGCTTCAGATCCATATGGTTTCACTGGCAAATTCTACCCAACATGTAAGAAGAAAAAAAAAATACCAATTTTACACAGATTCTTCTAGAAAACTGAATTTCCCAGTTCATCTTCTGAGATCAATATTATTCTACACAAGATATAAGAAAATTATAATCTGTCATGAATGCAGACACAAAGTCTTCAACAAAATATCAGCAAATATAAGTTAGATGATAAGAAAAGGATAATAAAGATAAGGAAATGGGATCTGGAGCAGTGGCCTAGAGGCCAAAGTTTTCATCTTGCATGTCTGGGATCCCTATGGGCGCCAGTTCTAATCCTGGCAGCCCCATTTCCCATCCAGCTCCCTGCTTGTGGCCTGGGAGGGCAGTCAAGTTTACCCAAAGCCTTGGGATCCTGTACCCATGTCAGAGACCTGGAAGAGCTCCTGGCTCCTGGCTTTGGATCAGCTCAGCTCCGGCTGTTGCGGCCGCTTGGGGAGTGAATCAACAGATGGAAGAGCTTCCTCTCTGTCTCTCCTCCTCTCTGTGTATCTGACTTTCCAATAAAAATAAATAAATCTTAAAAAATAATACATTGCAGCAGTGTGGATAAATGTCAGGTGTGCTATGCTAATGAAAAGGAGCCAGATACAGTATATGATTGCATGTATATACTACTATGGAAGAGGCAAAACTCAGTGTAGGAAACACACCAGTGGTTGTCAGAGCCCAGACACAGGGCAGGGTTTGACCACTAAGTGCACAAGGAAATGTTTTAGGTTACAGTGGTGGTTACATAGTTGGTGAAATTGGTAAAACTCGTAAGTTCTACACTAAAGAGGGTAAATTATCTGCCTTAAAAATGACAGGTTATCATATTATTTTAATTTTTGGAAGTTTATCCTGAAATAGAAATGCAAATATCATTTGATGGCTTGGAAATGTCATATTTTGTTTTTAGTTTATCCCAATCATGAAAAATTAATTGTCTTGTGGTTAATATGCCAGCTGATAATGCCTACATCCCGATGGGAGTGCCTGGGTTGGAATCCCGGCTCTGCTCCCGCTTTCAGTCCCTGCCACCGTGTGCACTCTGGGCGGCAGCAGGCGTTGGCCCGCGGGGTTGGGTACCTGCCACCCAGGCGGGTGATCCTAGTGAGGCCAAGCTTCGGCCTGACCCAGCCCTGTCTGTTGCAGGCACGTGGGGTAAAGCAGCAGATGGGAACCGTCTATCCCTGCCTCTGAAACGAAAAGCAAAACAAAACAAATCAAGCAATAATTTTATGGTTTTTAAATGCTTAAAGTCTTTTACAAATTAAACTCTAGACTGGTTCTTGTAAGGACTTCTCTGGTGAACCATGCTAAAAACTCATCTACAAGATCCTGGAGTAGTCCTGGCAATGGCATTTGAACCAGTTCTGCAGGTGACTTGGAGGCTGGCGCTGGCTGAGGGCTGCTAATGAACACCAGGAGGCAGTAGCGCATTGCCCTGAAGGCTGTGAACTGCGCAGTCCAACTGCCTCGCTCAAAATCCTGCCTCAGCCACTCTCCAGCACACTGGAAACTTTCTGTGCCTTGAATGAACTGTCTGTAAAAAGGTGGTCAGAATAGTACCAACTTCACCGTGTTGTGATGAGGATGAAAAGAGATGACATCCATTAAGATGCTTAGCACAATGTCTGCGGCTTAATATGTGCTGCCATCCTTCTGAGTGACATTTAATGTCTTTGTAATGATATTGTAGAAAGGCTTTCGTTCATGAAGATCTTGGCTGGTTCCTGACTAAAAATTTCATGACATAAAAGTACATTTTTTTCCATGTTCACTTTCCTTTTTTTTTTTCTTCTAAAAACATTTTATTTCTATTGGAAAGGCAGATTTTTATAGAGAGGAAAGACAGATCTTCCATCCGCTGGTCCACTCCCCAAATGGCTGCAATTGCCAGAGTTAACATCTATTTGAAGCCAGGAGTCAGGAGTTTATTCCAAGTTTCCCATGCAGGTGAAAGGTCCCAAGGTTTTGGGCCAACCCCAATTGTTTTCCCAAGCCATAAAGGGGAGGTGGATGGCAAATGGAGCAGCCAGGACATGAACCGGTGGCCATACGGGATCCCAACACGTTCAAGGTAAGAACCTTAGCTGCTAGGCTACCACGGCAGGTCCTGTCCCACTACCCATCCAGCTCCCTGCCTGTGGCCTGGGAAATCAGTCAAAAATGGTCCAAAGCCTTGGGACCCTGCACCCATGTGGGAGACCTGGAAGAAGCTCCTGGCTCCTGGCTTTGGATCTGATCAGCTCTGGGTATTGTGGCCATTTGGGAAGTGAACCAGCAGATGGAAGGTTTTTCCTCTCTCTATATATCTCCTTCTCTCTATAAATCTGCCTTTCTAATAAAAATAAAATAAATCTCAGAAAAAACATTTATCTTTATTTGAAAGGCAGATTTTTTAAGAGAGAGAGAGAGAGAGAAAGAAAAAGAGAAGGAGAATCTCCATCCACTGGTTTGCTCTCTGAATAAGTGCAGCATCCAG